GGTCTTCTCTTTCTTGCATGCGTTTATGTGTTAACGCATTTTTGTTTCTCCATTTATCCATACACAAATAAGGATTTATTTTACGTTTTTTTTCTTTCCTACCTGACAGAAGATATTCTCTATTTTAGATTTTCAAATTTCTTCAAGATGCAATACGAACAAAACAGTGACAAAGCACCAATAACACCCATGCAAATGTCTCAACCGCTGACTACTAATCAAGATTACAGGCCAAGCAGTAGTATAAGAAGAACAAGAATGATAGTTCTTATTCTACTTGCAATCAAAATGGTATTAAAACAACTTCTATAAAACAAATAATAATTATATTTCTTCTAGATTTTTGCGTTATTCAATTTCATTCAACGAATTGTTGATCTGGCTAAATATTATAATGTATCCACTGAAAGCCGTGACCGTGCACTAGCCAGTTCTTATATCGGCAATATTGTTCTTGGTAAAGTTTTCTATCGAAATTTTGATTTCGATTCTATTGTATATCTAATTTTAGGTGCTCTCACGATAATTTTTTTAATTATTTTCATTTTTGTTGTGGTTAAATATAATCGAATTGGTATTCTTATTGTATGCTTAGGCTTTTTTTCTTGTCTACCATATACCATCTTGTTATTTTGACTAGTTTGCATGGTTGGGTTTCCTTGAATTAATATGTATGGTCATCATCCTTGTTCTTGCAATTATTGCAATAGTTGCTTTTTCAGCCGAATTACATAATGCTGGTGCTGGAATTATTTCTAGTGTGATTATTCTTGTTATAGCAGTTATTGCATCTATTTTAACAGTATGTATTTTTGTATTTCTTCATTTTCATTTGATATTGTTCTTTTCAGATATTGACAGTTATCTTTTCATTTAAATTGGCCAAATTACTTAAATTGCAAGAAGCTTATCAATTCGTCTAAAATTAAACACGTACATAGTTCGAGATGATCTCTTTATTATGACTAAAACTTCTATTTGGTTAATCGAATGAGTTTTATTTATTCAACTAAATATTCTTAATCATTTTGAATAAAACAACTGAACATCATCATGAAGCTCAAGGAAAAGAGTCATAATAAATAGAAGAAAGTAGAGCACATGGAAGACTAAAGATTTATGTTTTTTAACTCACTGCCAAATAGATATTAGCGCCGGAGTCTGATCGACTCCGACCCTGATGTCTACTGCCAAGTCATTTGATATTTAGCTGAAAATTCACTTATGTATGCATGTCAGTATGGTGACGGATATTCTCTTGAAGGAGGTGTTTCAAAAATTAGCCATCTTAGATAAAGGGTAAAAAAAACTTTTGTTCATTGTTCATAAGAAAATTCAAAAGAAACCCTTTCGTTAAGGAATAACGCCCCAGTGAGATAGTTATTGTAGAGGGATAATATGCTAGCTTCTTTATAAATAAGATCGTTATCATATCAGTAGAACCAACATACAAGTCTAGGGAAGTAGTAATAGTTCTCAACCCTCTGGTATATTTGATAAATATCTAATGCATGTGAAAGGATGGAAGTTGAACGTGCTGTCTTAGTGAGCTTACTTTAAAGATTTTATAAAAATTTAGGATAAGACTTGTAAGTGTTTAGGAGGTAACTGAAAAAAACGTCCTATGCCAATTATTTCGTATGTAACCTTTTAGTAATAAAAGTCACTAATATATGATCCAGTTTCTTGAATATTACAGAAGAATTCTATCACATTCTTAAAGGAACTTGTGAGATCTTCATGCTTTACTATTATTCAATTGTCTTACAAATATACTTCGGTAGAATGCAAGAATAATTGATATCGCACAATTCGGCTTTAATCGTTTACTCTGGAATGTTCACCGGGATGAACATAAAGAGAAATAATATTGAAAAGAAATTGAACTTTGTGATCCACAACTGATTCTATGTCGGTTGTAAATAATTTTATGAGTTATCTGCAGCTCAAAACATCATTGTGTTCCATTAATCTATCTCTGAAAAGCATGACTTACAAAATCAATCAGTTTGGAAAAGAAAATTTTCCTTAGAAGCAATTTCCATTTGCATGCGACGAACGCCTCAAAAACATGTTATGAAATAAATATCGACGAAAATGCTTGCTACTGAATTAAATACGCTCCACAAGTTTCCCAATAGCTTGTCAGATAAGATATGATAAATCATTGAATGTACCCTCAAATGACGATTGGAAGGTTAAAAAAGGAATAACTTATATCATCCATATCTTTTTTGTAAATCTTATTACATCAGAACTTGTGTCTGAAATTTGTGTGCTGTTAAAAATATTTTGTCATCTTTTCTTCCATTTCTTTCATCATACTAGTCAAATGAAAAGAAAAGACACCAGTCTTGTCTATTGACAGCTAATTAGTATTTTAGAGAACAAAAGTACCACTCTTCAAATCGTTCTACTCTCTCATTTCTTCAAGAAATTATTGGGCTGTTCAAAGTACTCTACATCAAAGATAATTCATTTACTCATTCTGTGCATACCATTAGCATAAAAACAATACCCCTACTTTATTTGCGTGTTAATTTTATTAATATCTCTTCTGAGACCGCTATGTAAAGTGTAAATGTTAATTTCTCATTCATAAATTATACCAGATCAAAGGAGTTTTTCATAATTAATATCAAAATGAACGAGTACAAAGAACATGAAAAATATCCATATCATGATAAAAATCAGTTTATACCATTAGGTTGTCTTTCGAAATCGTGCAACGAATAAACATAATTTGGATGGGAAAGACAAAAATTCAATGTTCTTGGAAGATCATTCATGAGATTTGTTTTCTACGACATGCATTCTATTGATCCAGTGACGTTTTCATTCGAAGTAAAACCTTATCGTTATTCAGCATCGTTCTCAAGTGTTGATCAAGAATGTAATCAGTCTTCTGTACTTATGAATACTATTTACTCTTAATATTTTTCTTTTAAAGATAAAGATCATCAACATTATATTACTTTAAGACACTTGGATGTGATAAAGAAATGAATTCCAAGTGATTATTGAAAATCTCTACTTTGTGTAGTGAAATTCTTTTATATTTTCACAAATGATACATACAATGGAGAAGCTTGTTTATCTTATGATTTATTGTTACCAAATAACAATTCAATGGAATTTCTATCATTTCTATGATAATGTTTGATTGATTCATATTTTCGAGATGTTCTTAAAGATCCACGACAATATCTAACAGAGATTTGCAATACTCGCACTAACAAAGAAAGGTTTGGACGGCTCCTTGTCCTACTTGCCGCTGCTCTGATATGTTCGCGTGACGGCTTCGCCATTATCGTGCCAACTTGTTAAATTGTGTGACTAGAACGTTTTCTTCTTAAAAGAAAGTCAATAAAGTAGTCAAAATTAAGGGAAAGGATTTAACTGTTGGGAATAGGATGTGGGTGTGGGCCAGAGTGGCTGAAGCTAGTATCAACACCCACACTCACATACACACCCATACGCACACCCACGTGCACGCGCACACACCCACCCACCCACCTATGAAACAAAATAATTAACACGTTCATATTGGTTGATGGGTTGTCATCAAGGTAGCACATATGTCTTATTGATGATCAATGAATTTCAATTGTCTACGACCGATTGACAATCGCATTCCTTCTCATCAACAACAGCTTGTTATAACAGGAGCGGAACAAAATATAACTGAGACTTAGAAGCATGAAGAGACTTGAGAAGAAGAGACATGAAAAGTACAGATTTTACAACGAAAAGTGCGTCAACACTTCGCACTGCTGGCCCACACTTAGCCACCCTTTAGTGCGTTCACTTATGTTCTATGACATGATGGTTTGCTTAGTGTTGCAGCCTTTTAGTGCTATATCCGCGCGACAAATGCCATGTCTTCAGCTGTCGTCTCGCCGTTCATTCATTCTCTCAATCAATATTCAATACGGTCCGGTGTTTTGGAATTGTATTGTTGAGTTGTGGTTCATCATGTTGACTTATTGTTGGTTTTCACATGGATCGACTTCGATTTAGAAGTTGCAAGGATTCGGTAGCCTGGATCGATATGTACTGACAAATTGAAATAAGTCGCTTGCCGTCACTCTCGGGAAGGATGTTTATTAGCTACTTCAAATATCTTGAAAGTATCTACTCCATATACAACATACGCTTGGAAAAGAGAAAGAACAGAGTAGTGAGAGAGAAAGATGAGCACAGGAGAGAAAAATGGAGAGAGATAAAAAGGAAAGAAGAAAGAGGAAAGGAAGACCAGCAGAAGTTGGCATCAATATAGACGCAACTCAAGCAGACAAAAATTTGAAGAAACGCGTTTAAACACACAAATTGGAACTGCGATTGTGAGATGTTCACACTAATTATTAAAACGCCACATGCGCCGTTTTTAGTGCGAAATTATGACTTTCAGAGCATTTAAACTGTCAAAAGCTCCTATCTTTTGCCGTTTAAACACGCATTCGTTTGAGAATTTAAAAATCATCCGTGTAAAAACCAAAAAAAGGAGTTTGTGACAATTTAAACGCGCTAGAACTCATAATTTTACACTAAAAACGGCGTTCCAGACGTTTTAATAATTATCGTGAACGGCTCACAATCACGATTTCCTTTTGTGGGTTTTAACGCATTTTTACAAATTTTTGTCTGCTTGCGAATCATCTCTGCTGATTCCTCCTAATCGATCAATTTACCACCGGCGCCTTTCATGTAAGGAGGTATTTTGAAGTGAATCGGACGCTTGAAGTCATAAAGTTGTCTTGTAAGAAAATTTCAGAATAGAACGGTAAGTATTCCTATATAAACTACGCAGACAGAAAAATAATATTCCATGTGATTTGAACTACTGCAGAAGTTTAAAATTTGTGTGAGGAAGTCGAATTGAACATAATAAACGGCTACTTTAATCCAGTTGTTGACTACGACACTTAAAAGTGCTACACTAATATACCTGATAAAATAGTTGTCTAAATAGACATGGACACATCAAATAGTGATATCATTTAGTTATTGTTTACTGGTGGTGGTTCATCTAAACCATCTATTTCTGGATCGACAGCACCTATTAATGCTTTAACAATATAATCACCAAAAGAAAATGAGTAATTAGCTCCAAGATATTGGCGTATTTTTGCTTTCTGTGTTCGAAAGTCATCTGTGACATCAACATTCTTCATAGTCTGGTCCCACTGGCGCAAATAGTCGACACAAGCTGGCTCATCAGTACAAAGTAGAAACATTACATGAGTGGTATCTGAATTACGTTCATTGCGCATGATATGTTCAAGGTCTGCTCGATTTGGATTACCTTCCTCGTCAGTTGGTTCTCCATCAGTAACAATGAATATTAATAACTTTTTATCATAGCCACGCCGTAATGCTGGCATTTGAAGCACGCTTCGTAAAGCGGTAACGAGTGGAGTATAACCACTTGGACTGACAGAGAATGCCTGCTCTACTTCTCTCGGTTCTTTGATTCGATAAAAACTTCGTCGGTTGAGAAAGCAAAGATCAACACCGTTTTCATCGAATATAGTACCGACTTCAAGTACAATCTTAGCACTTGCACAAAGTTCTTCCCAACGAGTTTGCCTACCATCATCGACAGGTGTTTTCATCGAACCAGAGTCATCACAGAGAAGCACAATTTCGAAATCTTTGAGTATACGAAGACGTTCAGCATAATCTCTTCTTATTTCGTACTTTCGAGCTAGTGCTAACAGTTGATCGTTGACTATCAAATTACAAGACATAATTACCTAGTAAAGACTTCTTTTTTAGTATTAGTAATGGTTCCGAACAGGGGGCTCTGTGAAAATGTGAGTACGAGCATAGAATCTACTCCCATTAAAATCTCTTGCTTGTGTCATTAAAATAAAGGCGGTACATTGTATTCTGCTAACAACTGGTTCATATTCGAAATAGGGCATAAAAGAACAACAGAGTTATATTGAAAAAGTGCCTTCAGACTTCATCGCCAAGGTTTTTTAAATGTGGGTTTTGATTTGAAATATTATCTTTAATTTTTTTCATTATTTGTAGCAAAGGATATGAAAGCTGAAAAATAATGTTCAAATTAACGATGTGTCTTTTTTTCCTACAGTCTTATGTAGTTTCACTTGTATTTCGTATCAATTTTTAACTTGTACTCGCGCAGTAAAACACTACATCATAGTCAAGGTTGCACGTGTATGTATTTTAATCAGAAGTTTTTATCATTCTTCAACAAATTTATGATTAATAAACTACGTCTCTATAAACTATTCGTCTTGCTTGTATAATTTATTCTTTCGAGATTTTCCAAGTTTAAGCTTAGTTTCTATAGGTTCTTACGTTTCATGATTTTTCATATCGGAGATTTTTTTCATGGATCATCATTTTTCCAGCTTTCTCTACTTTCAGATTCTATTCTTTTAAGATGTTTTTTTTATTACTTAACGATCAATGTTAAAGCCATTAATGCTAGTTCATTTTGCTAATTTTCATTGATTCCAATTCAGTAATGATGCAGAGATATAAGCCGTAAAAGTCTTTAATCAACAAGTTTCTAGCCATCGTTAATATCTCAGTTGTAAATATTGAGTTCACGGCTTGTCATCATAAGATGACGGCTTCGGATCAAGCTTATTAAATTTCGTATAGATGTGAGATATTACCAAGCTATCAGATTATTCGATGAGTCTACAATAAAGATTTTCGACCTCAAGCCCTGGAACTCATTGTGTGTGATTACTTAGAACCAATTTTCAGAAACGCTTAATCATTTCTGGTTATTAGTTCATGCTTTCATTACGCAAATCTTGAAAGAGATTTTCCTCTAATATGAAAGTAGTAGCAGCTGGCAATTTGTGCAACTGTGACAATGTCTAGATATTAAGAAGTCTAAACATATTGTATTTAGCGTAACAGTCTAACGTTTTACTGCATAATTTCCCTCTTCTTATTGTTAGTTCGATATGAATTGTGTATATCTGTAGATGTCGTTGTCGATGTAGGAGAAAATGACTCCCAGACCTAAACAGATGCATTCTCTTCACTGAAGTAAGTCTGATAAAAAAAAGTCTAGATGTTTCTTAATAGCAGCTGATGCAAATTTCAAGCTTAACACTTTTCGAAAGTTTTCTACCTTTGTTCGTATAGTAATTCAAACGAAATCCACTAGAGTAAAATAGAAGTAGTTTGTACGTATTAGAAATTTCGGTAGTTATACAATTTTCATTTTGTTTGTCTTTGCAAGGCTTTAGGCATTCTGTTCAAAGTTCTAGTTCGTTGATAAATATTATTAAGCGGACCAACATTTTACTGATAATATCGAGATTGCACAAAAGTCAATTCAGTCATGTCGACAATAGCTTGACAAGTTCCTATTATGATCCAATAGGATCCAGTGAAAGTCCATTTTTGTGATGGAATTCAATGAGCCATGATCTGTCTTATGCCTCTCAATTTTATATCTTTGAGAAAATAATCATAATAAATATCACAAATGATTTAATTTGCTTCAGATTTTCATGATTCCATGTATGAATGCGAACTTAATGTAGCACAATAGAGATTCAAATATCTGCGACTATTAATTCAAAGTCAAAATATAGTAGTCTAGGGTTGTTTCTATCAAAGACTACTACTTGAGTAGCATGATAAGAGTAGTCACTAGTTGATCTCACGTCAATATTGTCGTTTTTCAAGAATACCTGAGCCATCTCTATTTAAACATCAATATATTGACAGAGAAGATCAAAGATTTTCAGTAAAACTTCAAATTCTATGCTATATTCGACACTCGAACCGTGAGAATTAGTAGTATTTTGCTGGTATTCTTTTTAGTAATGTCGATAAGCATTCCTACTTTCATAATTTGGTTTATAAGGCAGCAAGCGACAAGTCGCTCGTGCTTCTTCCACGTCTTTCGCCGAATCTACAATAAAGCAAAATATAGAGTATAAACAATGATTTTTTATGAAACTATCATTATAACAAATGAGCTTTTGGTGGCTGGCTCATAATAATGTTGTAAGTGTTAGGCGACAACTAGAGCCCCTTATTTCCTAGCCAAAAAGTTTATAGATCCCATGTCCCGGTGTGTCTGGGAGAAACTGGTGCAAGTGTCAATCTGCACTGTTAAAGATGAGTAGAGAATAATATGCCGCCGGTATTAATTTGTTACCATTAGATAAACCGTTGTTTAAGTTCATGTGCGTAATCTACTCTTGAACAAATTATTTTTCTTCATGAATCTTGACAACGATTTGTGATACGTTTCCCAATGCATAAACCGTTGTTTTGCTTTTTTTCTTAATAAATTATTTTTGAGTATATGAATAGAATAAAACCTCAAATGAAGAGCTTAATGTTCTACGGACTCATTTAAAATGTGCAATGATAAATCTTTCACTTGAGGGTTTATCCGATTCATATACTCAAAAAGGGTTTATTAAGAAAGAAAGCAGTACAAAGGTTCATGAATTTGCAACGTATCACAAACTCTTGCCAAGATCGATGTAGAATAACAGTTTATGCAACAGTAGATTACGCTCATGCACCTAAAAAGTGGTTTATCTAATGTTAATAAATGAATAACGAGGGTATCTAATCATTCGCTTCTTTTTCACAGTGTGAAATGCGGTTGTATATATGAATGTAGGGTGTGAGTGTGAGTGTGAGCGTAGAGATGATTTATGGCGAGAGCCACAACTAGAGCCCGCTAGATTCAAAATGTTTGGATTCGGATCCGGTTAATCAAACTTTTTCCTATCCGGACTCAGACCGGTGAAACCCGGCTTTGATATTATAAAAAAAAAATTTAAAATCCCTTCTTAAGACAAAAGACCACAGTTCTTCTATTATGTCCGAGCATACAAAGTTTCCAGGGTAATCTTTGATTGTACCTCATTTATTTTGATAATTTTTAATTAAAAACACTACAGAAAACAAAAAGATTTTGAGGATTTTGAGGAGAGATTTTCATGGTTTTGAAAAGTCCAGAAATAACATTGATCTTAGTTTGTTAAGATTTTCAGCTCAAAAGTCTGAAAACTAATCCTAGTTTTGACATATAAGCATTAATCAAATGCCCAAATTTTCTAAAAATTATTTTACTTAGGACGCCTTTTATTATGGTTATCATTGTTCCCTCAATGAGGGTTTTCCGATATCTTGGCTCTTCTAAGATATGGAGTCTTCTCTTGAGGGGAGAGGTTTAATTGCTATTGAATAGCCATCCCAAGGATATCGAATACTTTTGTCTGTCTTTTTCCATTCAGTGACTAGCGCAAACTATGCATTTCTTCTACCATTCGGGTCCACCGGGTTCAAACATTTCCCGAACTTGGACCCGCTTTGTAAAAAATGTTGGACCCGGATCCGCGCGGGTCCGGCTCCAGGTACAACCCGAGGGGTTCTAGGCGCAATCTCCCACAGAATGACACTCATATCCACATTCACAGCCAAACCTCACCCACACTCTCAATCTTCAATATTTCGAAATCACCATACAGCGGTCTTCTCAACTTACTTAATGGAACCGACGTTGATTGAGCTGTTGAGGCTGATTGACCTGCTGAAGTTGGTTGAGCTGTTATAGCTGATTGCGTTGCTGAATCTGGTGCAGCAGATACTGAAATCAGCGGTGTCGAGGGCACTGCATCATTGCTTGCAGATGTGCACGACTTTTTGGAACTCACCAGCATCGAATCTGATATCGCCTGTTTTCTTTTTCTTTCCAGCTTTCCACTCATTTTTCAAGATATCTACAAGAATTTAATTAAAATCATGACGATCTGAAAAAAAACAAAAGAATGCGAAAAAGAGTCACATTTAGAAGTCTAAATTAAAACTATAGCAGCATAAGCCGTTTATCTTCCAAAACGCCGACGCAAATTAACGAAAATAAGTTATTTTTTCGATATCATGGTACGAATTTTCGATATGCACAGATTTAAAAACCTTAAAGAAGAGACTTCAACACCTTAAGCCAGTTCTACAATCAGAAATTGTTACTATCGTACAAAGTGGTACTATATGTTGCTCATTTCAGATGACATAGATGGGGATGCGGTGTTCTTCGATCGACATGAGTGTTTGTTTGGGGGGGGGGGGGGGGGGCGCTATTTTTTAGTTAAAAAAAAAATGAGGGGGTTAGTTCTTTTATAAAAAAAAAAAATAAAAAAAGCAAATAATAATATTTNATATTCCTTCATCGCTACATCGATATTTTACATTGCAACTAGTTCGAGATTTTTTATCGAAATTTGCCAATTTCGGAATTTTCCATTTCGAGATTTACTTTTTTCGTTTTACTTTTTTTCGTAATTCCGATTTTTCGGAATTTTAATTTTTCGAGCATTTCCTTTTTCGAAATTATTTTTTTCGTGATTTTTTTTCGAGATTTTCTTTTTCGAGTTTTTTTTTCGAGGTTTTCACACATTACCAATCTTTCTATGATTTCAGAAAAATCTGAAAGAATTCTATTCAATTAATATGTGCTATGATGAAAAGATGTTTTATTTTGTTGAAAAACTTCAACAACTGAATACATAAGACTGACTTTAATCACGTAATGGTGAACGAAATAAAGTAAAACAATCGTGAAAAGATAATTAGACTAGACCATGTGATTGCTACTCCAAAGACGATTTAAGTCAAAGGGTGTGGGTGGGGTGTGGGTGTAGGTGCAAATACTGCTTGATACAAGAAGAACCCATGCACACACCCACATCCCATAATGGAATATTATTCACTGAAAAACTTTCATTTTATTTTATCACGACTAGATGCCATGGAAATAGTATACTGTCTACGATGAAACTGAGCTGAACGAAGGGAGATAATGATTTTTTTTCTATGTCATGTGATGATCTTCTGTTGTATGTCATCAATTTTTCGAGAAGAATCAATTATTTGAAACAACTGTGTTGTTTTAGAACAACCCTCTTCATAGACATCAAACAATTTTGTAGGTTGTTCTGTTGATATGTTGAAGAAACAATATTAGACTGTTTTCGTATTTTTTGTGTCGAATTCAGCTAAAATATCAATATTTATATGAAATGCGACACTCCTGGAAACTTTTTTCCAAATTAATCTCTGCATCTCCGATGAAATGACGACGCAATACTCTGAAAAACTAAGAAAAGAGCCCACATGAAAACGAACCGCAGTTTTTCCTTAGCTGTATACCAAAAAACAGGACTCAAATTAAGAGAATATTTTCAATTGTTCAGTGCTGGATACAATCTTGGATTAGCGACAAGACAGATTCTTTCGTTGGAGTAGTTCAGAAGTTTCTTTTACAGGTAGAGTCATGACATTGAAAGGGTTAGTTTGATAGGTTACTTTTGATTAAGTTATATTTGAATTCGTTTTTTCAAAACCATGGTTTCTAGTTGCTCGAGATCATCTATTAGGTGCCTCAGGACAAATAGACTTTTCAATATTTCAATATGTCTTTTAATATTTGTTTGTTCAGGCTTTTTTTCCAAAACAAATTGTCCTTCAGTTCTCCACAAAATGATATATTTTTTATGTATCTAAATAACATTCATAATTTTCCAGAACAAGCTTCAAACGAACAGTTCAAGATGAATAATTTTGTAGTACCACGTTTTGTCGAATTTTTCAACTCCATTTCTTAGTTCTTCAATAATAGTATCTTTCGATGTTACTTTTTTCCATTCAAAACAATAACCAAAGTTATCATAAATTGAACAGTCTAATGAATTTAAGTGTGAATTATTTAGTGTCAATGTTTGTCGTTGATAAAAAGAGGAAAAGTTTTTTTGAGGTCACAATTGTGTCAATTCGTGATATGAGGTTTTACTTCGTTCTTATCAAATCTTCAATTTGTTCTAAAGATTTCATAGGCATATTTTATCGAAACTTGAATAATGTTACGCATTTATTCAACATGATATAATGTCCTGTGATAGAAAAGACCATCAATACCAGACGTAGTGACCTGCGTGATTGATATTTTTTAACACGATCACGATCACGATCGATCACGAATGTTACATTTCACTTAGAAGCATAAGAACAATCTTTCACCATTTAGCCGTGCCATCTATTGTGACCGAACAGTGAAAACGAACCGAACTCGAATCGATTTTCGAAAAATGAAGTCACACCGAACCTGAACCAATTTTTGAAAAAAAGAGTTAAACAAAATAATGCTACAATAAAAAATAAATGATTATGTTACAATCAATTTTACAAAAATGTGATGCCGTCGAGAAAAATTAGCAGATGCTTAATTGATTGTGTATGTAATTACCTAGTTTAACCTTCGCTGAACACGGCTCTTTGTTTCTCTTCATAACAATTAGACTAGTTGTGTTTGCGACGATCGGTCACTTAAAAACAGTACAATTGTTTTATCTATGTGTCCCTTAATTTTCGTCATTGTTATATGCTGTAACGAACAGACGTCCGAGAAAAATGTTTTGAGATATGACCCGTTCGTCTAATTAAAGAAATGTGCTATTGTCAAGCAGTTTGACTCATTACTATTTTCTGCTTAGTCGTATTTTTGCTTATTATTTTCTCATGTTCTTACAAGTTGTTTAGTTTCATCTATCATTATACTAATGGCTTCAAATAGTTCTTATGATTCTGTTCAATGTAATGAAAAAGACATCGAACGGCTAATTCAAGAAAAAGTTCATCTATCTCCTATGCAAAACCAAAAGAAATCACAAAAATATCTAAGTATTGGTCTCAATTTAGTCAAATTTATGTCGCCAATATTAAGCAAGATTTTATCATTTGTGATCTTTGCAAAATAGTATTAATTTTTAAACCATCAACTGGATCCGGTTGCATGCAGATTCATTCACGTTCATGCTCATCCAAAGAAAAGGAACAAGATTTATCTATTCAACAACAAAAAAGTAATCGCTATTATACACGTAAGTCAACAGAAAATAACACGCAGAAGGTATCAAAACGTTGGAAAGATGCCATCACCACATCCTATACTGAATTTGTCGTTCAAGATGGTAGAGCTTTTCAATTATCACAAGGATCGGGTTTTATTGGTTTAGCCCAGCAATTATTTGATTGTGGTAGGCTTATGTCATCGTCAACAAATATAGTAATTCAAGATTTGTTACCTGATCCTACCACTGTAAGTAATATCAGTGGGTGTGGGTGTGTGCGTGTGAGTGTGCGTGCGGGTGCGCGGTCGGGTGTGGGTGTTCATGTTGAGAAGAGAGTATCAACGCCCATACCCGCACCCACCCACACGCACACACCCACACCCACACCCATCCTTGTCTGACGGTTTTAATGATACATAAAACTCAGCTATATCCTCGGAAGCAAAACATTAGATAGCTTCGCAAAAAAATCCGCGACATATCAATTTTTTGCGTTTTTCTCGCTGTCAGACTCTACATGTATTATAAGCATATTTTTACTAAAGCACATTAAAAATAGGTCAAAAATGGGTACAATCGTCGCAGTTTTTCACGACAAATATATAGATATCAGTTTTATGATTCCAAGAAAAGGAAAAAATTAAAAAAATATCATTTTTTTATCACCAGAAAAGATTTTTAGGAAAAATAGACCATTCAGGACTATCGAAAAAATTGAAAAAAATTGTATATATATATTTTTTTTTACTCAGCTTAGTGAGCTCTATCTAACCATGTATAAAAAAAATGACAGAAATTTGCTTTAATTTTGCATTATCCACACCTTACTTATTTTTAAATTCATCTATAAATTAATGTTTTTTTTTTGTGCAACTATTTCATACATATATTGTAATAAGAACTAATTTTTATATCGAGATGGATAGGTGATACATGCAAGAATGACGAGAAGATAAGAAAAAAAAGTCGGTGTGTGTGCACTAGGCACATGTAGTAGTAAACTATTTGAGGTAAAAAAATCTAGTAGTTATTTCTTTTTTTTTTTGTCACTTTAGATGCGTCCATCTAGTGATGATCGTGAAATTCAGGTACCATCTTTATCAACGAGAATGGCTAAACATCCACCGACTATGGGTCTTCTGGATGCTATTAATCTTCTTTTAACATGTACTATTGGTTCTGGTATATTCATTAGTGCTAAAACAGTATTGGAATACTCTGGTTCTTATGGTCTTTCGATTGTTGTTTGGATTGGTTGTGGTTTACTTTGTATTATGGTAAAGAATATTTGAAGAAACCAATATAATTTTAAATTATATTGAAATATTTTATTTAGGGAGCATTATGTTATGCTGAACTTGGTTGTTCATACGTATCATCAGGTGGTGATTATATATATCTTCGTGCAGCATTTGGTAATTTAATGGGTTTTCTTCGTGTTTGGATTGATCTTGCATTATTACGACCAATGCTTGTTGTTTTAAGTATATTAACAGCATCAAATTATCTGGTTTATTGGTTTTATCCGACATGTACACGACCTGGAATATTAGTTAAATGTTTATCATCATTTCTTTTATTAATTGTTGGTTTTATTAATTTAATATCAGCAGTAGCGACCAAACGTCTTCATCAGGTGTGCAATTATTGTAAAATTGGTAAGAGTATTCTTTGTTTCTTTTGTTTTGTTGAGTTTTAAAATTTTAGGTTCTCTAGTATTTATTATTGTTGCGGGTATTTATCGTATGTATCTTGGTAGAGTAGAAAATTTTTCTGAACCATTCGAAGGTTCAACATATGGAAAAATTACACGTGCATTATATGCTGGTCTATTTCCTTATGGTGGATGGTACGAAACAGCAAACGATAATTTTGCAGCAATGTTTTTTAAATAATTTTATATTTCTTTTTTTCTTCTAAAGGCATTGTTTAAATAATGCAATTGATGATCTTAAAGATCCAAATCGTATATTACCTCGTTCAATTGTTATTTCGTTATTGATTTGCATTCTTATCTATTTTTTAACATTCAGTTCTTATTTTACGGCTTTATCTGCATATGATATTTTAATGTCTGATGCAACAGCTGTTAGTTTTGCTGAACGTATTTTACCATTTTTATTATATATTGTACCAATTGGTGTAACGATGTCATGTGTTGGAAGTAAGTATCTAGCGTCATATTGTAAATATATTTCTTATTAATAATTTTATTTTTAGCTGCATCAGGAAATCTTTTTATTATTGGACAAATGTTTAAAGGTAAGATGAATCAAATTATTGTTTTGTTTTTTGAATAAAATTATATTGAATATGTTCTAGTTGCTGGTCGTGATGGTTTAATGCCACACGTATTTTCCATGAAACATTATGAATCTAATGTACCTATGATTGCAATTTTATTTGCAATCCTTCTTAGTTTTAGTTTTCTTTTCTTTATGTCGAATATCGGAAAATTGATTATTTGTGTTGGTATGCTTAATTGGGCATGTAAGTTTCAATTTTTTTCTTAAATGCATAAGATATTTTTATTTGTATATGAATAGGTATTTTATTGACTGTTGTTGGGTTAATCGTTCTTCGCTATAAACATCCAAATCGTGAACGACCAATTAAAGTTCATTTAATCGTTCCAATTGTATTTATTTCAATTTTAGTAATACTTATTGTTGCAAGTGCATTAAATGATATAGAAAATATAAGTACATCTTTATTTTTATTAACCACAGCTATACCTGTATATATGTTTCGTGTAATGTGGAAAAAGAAACCAAGTAACTTTAATCGTCGATATAATTTATTTGCCATTATGTTACAAAAATTATTTCATCTGATACGTGATGAACATAATGAATGAAAAAAGAATTAGGAAATAACTCAGCAAGTGCAACTTTTTCTAAGTTTAATCTCTCTTTTATGCGTCTATGTGGACTTATAGAGATGTCTTTTTTATATGAAAGTGAATGCCATTTTTGTTGTATTTCGTCGTTGTCGTTCAACTTCTTGTTTCTATATATATCTTTATATATATAAAGGGTGTCCGAGAAGTTCTGAAACAATTTTCAAATTTATCGTTGTCGCATTCAACAAAAGCAAACTCTTTGTACTTTGGGAAATTATTGCACATAGGTACTACTACAGAACTACAAAATTTGAGGCCTATAGCTTGTACTATGGATAAGAAACTATAACAACACTGCTATGTACTGTTTTAAAAAGGACGGGGGACGGTTTCTACGTAAAACGGCCCTAAATGAAAATCATTTCAGAACACTTTCCACAATTGAATTTTAACATTTTCTACATAAGACTGAAGCGTGCAGAAGTCTTTCCGAACATCCTTTGAGACCTCTACTGGACATTTCTAACTAGGATATTCGTAGTATCGATTTCACCATCCCGCTCAAAGGTTCATCGAAGCTATTCATCATATGAAACTCATACTGTCAGGAGAGATAGAGCTTTTCGAGAGCTACAAAATGACTATAAAATGTGAGGAAAAATTTGCTGCCCTCGGAAAATTCGAAAGACCACAGTGTCCCGATTCTATGGAAAAGCCAATAGAATTGATAGTATGGCTCATACTATCCTAACTATCGATCCTGATACCATCGCCATTTTTTCTGTGTAGATAGAGCTTTTCAAGAGCTATACAATGACTACAAAATATAAAGGAAAATTTGCTGTGCTGGAGATTTTTCCAAAGACCACACTATCTGGATCCGATGGGAAATCCGATGGATGGGATAGTGTGGTTCATACGATCTGGACTATCGCTCTTGATAGCATGACCACTTTTTCGATGCAAATAGGGCATTTTGAGAGCCACGAAATGACTACGAAATATTAAGAAAAATTTGCTGTGCTCCAAAATTTCAAAGGATCACACTGTTCGGATTCTGCCGGAAAGCAAATGAATGCGATAGTGTCGTTCATACGATCCTGACGATAGCTCGTGATCTCATGATCATTTTTTCTATGCAGATATATCTTTTTGACACCGACAGAATAACGACACACAACAAAGGAAAATTTGCTGTGCTCAAAAAGTTCGAACGACCACACAATCGGAAGCCGGTAGGAAGGCCGATGTAGCTGATAGTATGGTTCATGTAATCTTCAGTCTCACTCATCACATGATCGTCACTTTTTCTATGCAGATTGAGCTGTTCCAGAGCGGCACAGCGATCATAAACAGAGTAGCAAAGCCTTGTCGTCTAAAATATCGAACGAGTATACCATCCAAATCTCCTGACAAAAACAAATGAACGCCATAGTATCCCATTATGCGAAAACTTTGCGTAACTCGTATGCTATGAAATCTTAGGTTAAGAAGTACTGCTTTATTCAAAGTAATAACAGTGGTGAAGGATCGCACGTTGCAAACGAACTACGTATAGCTGATACTGAAGGTCATTACGTCGATAAAATGCAGCAGCTGCAAGACCTAAGATTTCATACCGTACAAGTTACACAAACTTTCCCGACAATGTAACATACCGAAGAGATTTGAAAGCTGTAATGGAAAACTCGTGACTAGTGTGTGAGTGAGAAAGAGGACGACGCCATCTAGTGTCATTGTTGAAAGGATGCCCGGTAGAGTGTAGGTGTAGGTGTGAGTGTACATGTGGTGTATCTATGACTCGGACCTGATGGATGCCGCTATCCTGCTAGATGTTCCCGTGACCTAAGTGCATTGCGATACCTACACAAATACTCGCATTCATCTTCACAACAACACACTCATACCCCACAACCCAGACTACACTGGCCATCACTACCAATACATATGTACACTCGAAAAATTTACCTTTATATTTTGCGGTCATTTTGTACTCCCAAAAAGATCTATCTCCACACAAAACCATGGTCATCATATATTGGCGATAGTGAAGCTCGTATGAATCATACTACCAAATCTACAGGGTAGGAAATAATATTATTCCAGGGGGGTAGCACTATGATTTCAAATAGCATTAACAATGAATTTAATACCAAATGAAAGCTTGTGAAAAATGGGGTTTAGGAGTATGATTGGCCATTCATAGTATGAGAATGGGCTATAGAATTGCGGAAAGTTTCAAATTTTAGATACATAATTGGATATTTCCATGGATAGTCAACCACTAAAACATCAGNCCACTATTAGGATTGTATTCCGTGTTTAAGATTGCACAAAAGAATTGAAAGTAGACCTGGTTGATTAATTTCTAGTAATCGTTTTATATGAACAAAATCATTCGTTAGCGACATGATTTCGCAAAATAAAAATAGTATATTTCTTGATAATAAAGTTTTCGAGACAGAATTTTTGCATGCTAAATTCTGTGGGTGAATTTTTAGACACAGAATCTCCATTCAAGTAAATTGTATCGATGTACAATATCAGATGATCTGTTTCAAAGCCGATTTAAGGAGGCTATGTTTTTTCGAATTTGATCTTACTGAAAATTTCACTATAAATTTAATTCATGATCTGAAGTCTATCCTGAAATTCTTGAAGTTTTATATTAGTCAGTTAAAAAGTTTTTCGCTAGTTACATTTTAATTCAGTTTGATCTGAAAGAGATAAAGTTTTTAAATCTATGCATGATAAAAGAATTTGTTAAAAAATCAGCCCCTATAAAGAATCAAAGTCATACGAAAGATAATCATATCTCATTTTGACTGAAAATGATGCATATATGTTTTTTGTATTTCTAATAGGTATTGATTTGATTGATCCTGATGATCCAAGTTACCAAGCAGAAAATGAATTATATAATGCTGCTCAATCAATTGAATCAGCAGCAAAGAAATTATCTTCTCTTAAACCACGTCGAAAAATTAAAGTAAACAGAAAAAAAAACTTCTTTATTGCACATAATAACGAAAAAAGCAAGAGTCTTTTGTCATGATATGTTTGATATTTGGTTGTTCGATGTATAATTCGACCGAATATTATTCATATCTTCACAATTTATCTCTTCTACATTTTACAATTTTATCACATCTATTTGATAAGTATTACTTGAATCTCTGTGACGTATCTTATTGATTCCAAACTGAGGTATCTTGACTCTCTATCAAATTTAAGCAATAAAAATGCTTCCCACACCTTCAACTTGAAGTTCAATGCCATGTCTTCGAAGTGTATCGATCCAAAATCAGGCCAGCAAATTAGATCATCGAAAAAGATTGGTTCTTTCAGTCAGGCAATGTAAAGCCTTTGAATCGACAATTAATGCAATGCTAATAGCGCAAGTATGGAGCAAACATATTCACGCCTTTAGATAGCAAAAGTAATATTGAAAAACATAATTTAAAAAAAAAACGATTCAATGTGCACTCTAAAAAACAGATTTTTAGACATATCGATGCTACGTAAAATTTCTGGAATAAATGAAATGTGTTCTTGTTTGGAGACTCATTCACTTGAGATATTCAAAATTCTTCCGTTGTCGATTTTTTCATATATATATATATATATATCATAGTTTACAGTCATCGATGTAGTCGATAGGAATTTTTTGTAACCCATATTTAATTCACAGTTAAATTGACGAAATTTCAAACTCCATTTTGATATGATATGATTGGTTCAACTGAAATATGTTTTGAAAAATAATGAACATATCGTTTATAGAATTAAAAAAGTACCACAATAGTACTTCAAGGTTTATCTGTAATTAATCATTCATTATATTCTACAGCTTGTTTTTCTTTATTAGTCTGTTCTGAAACTTATACGGTACCAGAAACATTTTATACATAGTTATATAATATATATAGATACATCCTGTTCTTATTTGAATAAATAAATAGCTCGTGTGATCAAGGTTTGTAAATTGAAGAAAATGAAAAAAGAGAAAAAAAACTTGAGCTTCGTATTTGTTCAATACAACAACCTTGATCACACGAGCTATTAATTTATTTGATGAGAATTATATCTATATTCTTATATAAATATGTATAAAGGTGTTCACCTGGTACAATATACGTTTCAAATCATGTTGATATAATTCGTCGATTTAGGTTACTTTTTTCGTAAATATATCCGTTTTTTTTCTTTTAATGTTTCTCTATATATAGGAAATTAATAAAAATCTTAATTTTGATGAACAAATTCTTGAAGCAGCTAAATTTATAATGAATGCAACTAGTGAATTAATAACAGCAGCAACATCAGCTCAAAAAGAACTTGTTGATCAAGGAAAAGTAAGTTTTAAAAAATTGCTACGTTTTTGAAATCGCTTTATTGATTATTAGAATTAGATGTATATCAACAAAGTAATAGAATAACCATAATTGAATTAAATTTAGCAATCAAACATATTTTAGAAATTCATAAATCTATTTCTTCCCAGCAAACGCTTTTTTTTCTCTCTAAACAGGTATCATTTCAATCAAAAGATAGGGTTTTGATTGCTTTTGTCTTGTTCATGTTTGCAGGTGGGAAAATGTGCTTGGTTTCAAACGATCCGCCGTTCAATTCTCTATAAAATCATGCGAGAATATTAAGTCTAATATTCAAAATTGAGGAACACTGAGTTTCTCCGATACTTACCAATTTTTAGAGGACGTTTTCAAAACAATTTTTGATGCTTTGCTATTTGTTTTTGGGCGAGCGAGACATGATATGCAGTAACAGGCATTTCGAAACAGCATTATGACACAAAAATGAGCTTCTATACATTGAGTCGAAAATTCTATATTTAGTGGTACTATTCATTTTCATTGAGTATAGTCTTCCAATTTTATCACGAGTGTTTCATTTTGCTTTCTATCGACTTCTTTGTAAGCTTACCGAGACTTAACTTTGGAATATTTTACTATGGTCGTCTTTCATAACAGCAGTCCATCCTTCTCTAAATATCGGTATATGGTGGGATAATTTATCCTTAAAGACTTTCAAGTGCATCTATCGATTGACTGGTAGACAATAGATAAATATCGCCGGAGAACTTAAGGCATAATGAACAAAAACCCAAATTCGAATTGTTGCATTCTAGAAATAGATACATATTGCAGAAGATGAGTACTGCCTGGTTCTTGCGATCACTTTAAAGGTTAGTTTTAATGCTTTCGCCCAATTTAGTAAAGAATTGAATAGTGAATATCGAATATTTTGGAGCTAAGGGCAGTTTTCAATTTATAAACGTAACCAAAATAAATAGAAAATATGAGTGATATCATTATTTATGGTTCATCTGTTATAATACAGAAACGTAGAATTGCTTAAAAAATTGAATTTACTTACAAAATCTAATTGAATTTACTCGATTTCTAAACAATATTACGAGTAATTGATGTTTGCAAAAAAACATGAATAATCGAACTTTCATGTTAATCTTTCATAAAGGAAGATTTAAATTTGACTATAGATCTTTTATTTGATGTATATGTTAAAAAATATTCTGTTAGGATATTTCAACAGATTTTGACGATTGATTCAAATATGGTACGACTTCAAGTCTAATATTGCCCTTTATTCGCTTCAAATGAAACATTAAGTTTTTCTTATGTTTTGCATAAAACTGTTCCGCTTCCTTAGCTTGTGCTTATTTTATCTAACTAATCAAATGCATGGTTGACAAAGATTTATTATTTAATTATCTATAATTTAAAAATCTTATATTTTAGCTTTCGTCTAAATCTAATTCTGATGCACATGGTCAATGGTCTCAAGGTTTAATATCAGCAGTAAGTGTAGTTGTTTTTTGAATGTATCCTACATTTAATTCATTGATTTGTAGGCACGTTATGTTGCATCAGCGTGTCATGTTTTATGTGATGCAGCCAACGAACTTGTTCAAGGTCATGGTACTGAAGAAAAATTAATATCAAGTGCAAAGCAAGTCAGTTCGAATACAGCAGCATTACTTGTTGCTTGTAAGGTTAAAGCTGATTTTATGAGTCAATCCATGACACGTTTACAAAATGCTAGTAATGCTGTTAAACGTGCAGCTGATACACTCGTACGAGCTGCACAACAAAATACTGATATGCAGCAAGAAGAAAAACATATTGAAGTTTCAACGCGTTTAGTACCAGGTATTGCACAAGAAATTAAATGTAAAGAGGCTATTTTAACAAAAGAACGTGAATTAGATGAAGCACGAAATCGTCTTAAAGCAATACGTTTAGCTAAATATGGTCATAATGAACAAGAATCAAATGACAGTACATAAAAGTATCTTTTTTTTATTATTAGCAATTTCGGTGCAATTTGAAAATCTTGCTTTTTTTCTTTTTATATATACAAACAAAGGTTTTTTGTTATTCTAGTTTTACTAATTCTTCTTTTGTTTGTTATGCATGCGTGTGTATTTTGTAAAACAAAAATAACCTTGTTTTGTTTGGTATGGCATTTAACTTAGTTAACAATGACTCATAAAAATGAAATTATTGTATAAGAAAAATTGTAAATTTCAACGAAGATTTGAATGATCAATCTGTTTAGATTCAACACTGATTGATGACATAGATTATCACTGAAAAATGTTTGGAATTGATACTTCCTTATTTTGTCCACAAGTCAAAATAATTAGGTAAATGATTTACTCAGAAATCTACAATATATGCCATGAGATTGAAACATCTTCATCCTTCATCAATTCTTGATTTTTCTTCCTCATTCAGTGTTGCTTGTTGTTCGTCTCAAACTCAATCCTGATATGTTTTCGATAAGATTTATTTTGTCTTCTTATTTCTTGTCGAACATTTGCTGTCTAGAAGTAAATATGAAGAGAACTTCCTTCTTAAATCTGGTGAAATTTGCAAGCACGAGTATCCAATCAAGACTAAATAAGTTATGAATTTCATGGAAAGCAAACGACATGCATAGAAGAGATAATTGATTATCAAGACGTTCCTTCGCAAAGGTGTTTCATCCGTTAATCATCCATGTAATGAAAACTGCGAATGAATAGAACTACAGTAGTGATATCGATGAGTATCAATTCATATCCAAAGACACTATGATATCCTCCAAACATTCCAATATGTCATTGACGAAAGTTCAGATCGGGAACTTGCATGAGAACGGTATTGATAGTAACCGATTGATGCGTGAAAGGATAAAGTTGTATTTTATCCAGTCAAACAAATGTTGTGTAGGTTTTTAATGGGCCCTTTTCGAACGAGTGCTTTTTTATTCGACATTCTGGTCAAAACTAATCATTGCTTGATAGATATCATCTCAAATTTTAATCACGTCATTCAATGCAGCTCATAAAAGTGCATCTTCCAAAATTTAAACTAAGAACCGGACTTACAGACATCATCGTACAAAGTTTGATAAGTTTATCGTTGATAATAATAGATCTATGGACAACTTCAAAATATGAGTATGGCTTCAATTACCTTGAAATCCTAATTATAATTGCTCCCAATAAAGTTTCTTTCTCATATACTAATAGCTGGATTCTTCATGTTGATGAGTAAAAAAAGAAGATAACACTTCCTAAATTGATCCCCTATCAATAAGCACATTCGAAAAAAAACAAACATAGCATAGAAATATAATGAAATTCATCGAATAACTTTCAGTGTCAACCGAGCTGCTATCAGCATCTTCATGAAAAATTCAATGTTGTTGGTACACAGAACATTTTGAATTGAACATTTTGAATTGAATATTTTGAAACTTTTCCGAATTGATGTGAGAATTCGGTTTCAAGTTAAAAAGCTTGACTCCGCAAGTATCTGGTTGTCATCTTTACTACTGTTAAGAGTCATAGCTTATTTCAACTCGAGAAGACAATTAAAATTTCTAGTTTTGTTATCAGGCAAAGAACGTTCGTAAGCTGCATTCCATCAATGGCTCGTATTTTGCCACCACTCCTTTTAACATCGAGTATTGTTAGAAATCTATTTCCTAATTCTTTCGGTCGATACATCACTTGGTTAGGCTTACTCGACATATTCTTCTCGTTTCCATATATAAAGGGTGTCCCATAAGTTCTGGGCCTCGACGAAAATTAGTTTCTATATAAACAAAGAGTGACCAATACCTAACTATATTTATATGAGCTTCGAGCCTTGAAGACGCTCTTTAAAATGGCATATTATGAGATGACATTTCGTCAGCTTATAATGATAATATAAGCATGAGAATGTTGATGATCAAAACCTTCGAATCGACCAGTGTGTTTTCAATGATCGGAAATAAGATATAGTTGATTTGCTAGAAGTTCGTATTAATGTGAAATCAAAGAAATGTCTTATTGAATTGAAAAAATATCAATAATAAATAATAAAATGTTCAAATTAAAATAAATCGAAAAAATAACAATGATAAACAATTAAATGATCAGATTAACATGTGATTATTTGAAAGTATTCTTTATATACTCGACAAAAATGCACGAAATGAACTGTTCAAACTGAACAGAAAGTGTAAATAAAGTATGCTTAGAGAAAACAATATTCCGAATAGAGAACGGAATACTTTCTTTCGTTCTGTTGTCAAATGTTCATGATTCGCTCAGCTGGGGTATAAGTTAGGTGAAAACACGTGTAGTGCTTCATAATAACGATCAGAAAAGCGGCCGCAATACTTCGTATTACTTTCTATGATTCTTTCTCTACACATACAATCAGTTTGTAGTCCATTAAAATGTCTCGAAAACACACTGGTCGATTCGAAGGTTTTGATCGTCACCATTCTCATGCTCATTTTACCATTATGAGCTGACGAAATGTCATCTCATAATATGCCATTCTAAACAGTGTTTTCAAGGTTCGTAGCTCATATNAATTGAGTAAATCTCTTTTCATTTCTCTCATTATATTTTTCAACATATTAGTAACAAAAAACTACTCCAACATTAACTGAAAGTAATTTTATTGACATTTTCACTAAAATAATTACTTTTCAACTGAAGCTTCACATCTTTATAGAAAAAAGTTATAGCACTCCAGAAATAGTGTACTTTGAACTGAATCTTTTTTTATTTGTAAAGAAATACGATATTTACTCAATTGAATTAGAAGATATTCAATAACCTTCTCACATACAATAACTCCGCTATATGTAATGAGCTGAGTATGATGTAAAATTTCACATAAATTGAAACTATCACTTAGTTTTATTTTTTATTTTTATTTTTATTTTAAATCTTAATGTTCTAACAGATTAGCAGTAAATATTAATCTATAGTTCGTAACGAAGTTGCTATAATAACATAAATAAAATAAAGTTCAATTTGATAATAATTATTGGTTTTTTAAAATTTATATAATCAATTCTTTTTAATCATAAATAATAATATCCCTAGTCGAACATCTTGTAAGCAAGATCTTGGTCAAGATCTTAGATACAGAAATGTGAACAGATCTTTAAAATGTAGGTGCAAGATAATCTGATTATCTTGTACCAAGACCTTGGATTGGATCTTGGGTACAGATATTACATATCTTGAATTTTATATCTGGTCTTTGTTCCTGATAATAAGATGTTTCATCCTAATAATTAAAATTTTCAATATCTTCAGTCAAGCTCCTTCTGTTTTATTTACATTGAATGGTGAAAAATATTTAGCTGAATATCTAATTCGAGCTGAATTAACTCTAAAAGTATTATAGAAAGCAGGAACTATAAGAATGCAGCAATTTTTCAGCTCACATATGCAATTTTAACAGTTTAAAAATATTTTGATTGATGCAAATTCAAATTATAAAGAGCTGCAGTGTGAAAAAATTGGTGTCTTCTGCTTTTATGAATATAGAGGTCCAATCACTTTAGAATATTAATTTTTTGCTTTTAGTCGTTTTTAATAATATTAAATCACCATTCACATTGATTTTTATTTTATGCATCAGATGATAATCATAATATCAAGCCGATGTTCACATACTTCTGTAAGAAATCTTCATTCAATAGTTTTAATAACAATATAAGATAATCTAGAAATAAAAATAAATTTAACATTTTCTATTTATAAAATGCTTACAAAAGTTAGTATTAAAATAAAGAAATTAAAGAACTTATATAAATATAGTATTTAGCTAAAATCTAATGCCTTTTATTTTATCATTTTTAACAAAAATTTCTAAGAAAGTTTTAGTTCTAAAACATTTTTTTTCGTAACGAGACATCAATCATCTTCTTATAAAATACAATTTTTTCTTGAATTCATACTAGATTAGTCTAAAAAATGTTGTTACTACTTAATAAATTTTCTGTTGAATAACCTTTTCTTGCTTCTTTGTTCTTCATGGTTTCTATTCTATTGGTTCGCAAGTACCCCCACGATTGCTAAATTTTTTAAACACGCGTGAGAGTAACAACTTTATATGACTGAGTTGTGCAGCGTAGTTACAAATAATTTAAAAATTTTGAAATATGTTAATTAATTGATGGTGTCGCTTTTTGTTTTATTTAAGATCTTGGGAAAAGATAATAGAAAACAATATTTTGTCCAAGATCTTGACTGTATAAGAATCTTTGTAAAGATCTTGCCAAGATCTTGGGTACAGATTTATTTAACACGATCAAGATATATAAATGCAGATTATCTTTTCAAGATCTTGATAAGATCTTGCTTACCAATTCCAAGATTTCAAGATCTTGTTTACAAGATGTTCGACTAGGGATGTTTTTTATTTGAGATAATATAAATAAAACATTGAGAAAGAAAGTCCTATCTTTAAAACAAATCTATTATTTCCGTGCAGTTATTCATTTTCATTTTTTTTTTCAAACAAAATATTCAATATTTTTAGTAGAAAATTGAAAGATGCGTGCTTTAAATGAGGATAGGAAGAACTTTAGAAATTATGCATAAAAATGATTTCGTAGAAAAAATAGCATATTTCTTCTCGTGTTTCCGATAATATGATATTCGTATGTATAGCAGTGATATATACGGTACGGTTACTATGGAGTACCATGTCCATGGGTTTCTCCTTCATAATGGTTTTGTTTTATTTATCATCTTCTGATTGGTTCTCATTTTGACGTGTCATAGTATTTTACTGGTCGTGTTGTGGTAGCTTTACACAGATGAACAACAAACATTTTTTTTATCACTCATTGAACAACCTGTGAAACGTACAATTGTTTATCTTCTTTCTGTATTATTGCATTTCTTCCTTAACTTGCACTAATCGTAGATTCATGTCACTGGTACAAACTAGGTTATCAGATAATATTAGTGTAATTGATACAATATCTAAATTAATTTCTTTTTCTTAGAACTAACTGATATTAAAAAATCTTATTGTCTTAATCAATAAATATCGAGTACATCAGCGAAATTAGTGAGTCTTATACTAATCATTTAATGCAAGCTTGAAGAGCTTGATAATATATTACAAGAAAACAGTATTGCTGAAGTTGATCACAAACAAATAAGAGATAAAATTAAACGACAAGCAAAAATGATAGTATTCATATATCATTATCATTTAAATTTTCATTTGTTGTAGCTGCAAAGCAAAACAAATACGATAATAGTATTCTTATCAACCTCATTTTGTCAGCAATATTTACAAATATTAATAAAATAAAGCTAACTAAGAAGAATTGAATATAAGAATCCTTCTTATTTTAATTTAGATACAGTGTTTTCAATATTTAATGGTTCAATTTTCAAATAGATTTTACTTTCAGTATTTTTTCTATTAGTAGGCTCTTCTCTGCTCTTCTATATTATGTTTCAATGGAATTCTATGTAAATCACTACTCGATTTAGAAAAAGTTGTTTTTTTCATTCGAATCTAATATAAGGATACTCGAAATAGGCACTCGTTCACTATGAATAGATGAAAAAACTTTTTATTAAAAATTGGCAACATTAGAATTTAGATTTTGTTGATAGAAAACTAAAACCTTCATTGCAACATGTTCCTGTAATAGATATGTTACATTTTATAGAAGATGAGATAATACAAAAGGAAATGGCATACTAAAAATAATTCATATCTTTTTCATCTAATGACTCTACTAAACATAGTACTCTTCGATTGAGAATAAAATTTTGCGTCTAACACAACTCAGAAGAGAGCTAACATACATCAGTAAACGAATACGCACAATAAAATGTTGAATACAGTGATAATTTTACTTACATCTGAGAAATACTAGTTAAGTTTCTACTGAGAAATAATTAATAATATTTATCAAAATGCAAGTGTTCTATCCAAGTGTGTATCTAAAATTAAGAGTAACAACATAATTTTTGTTTGATAGCTGCAATACGATTAATTTTCATGTTAAAACGCCAATTTCTCCAGTAGGAAAAACACAAATTGAATTACGGTTTTATCAAATTCTAATTTCCTTTAAATATTTTTTTCTAATTTATTTATATGCAGCTAATTTTAGATCAGTCACACTATGAAAGGCAAAGTTCAATATTATAAAAATCACTTGAAATCTTTTTTATTATTAGACAAAATACCGTGTAGATGTTGTTACGTAACTATTTCATTCATATGATATAACTAATCATTGCTAATGGTTGAAGTAGGTTTTTTTTTCTTTCTTCCTTTCTACTTGTTCTATGTCAACAAACGAAGCAACTGCTTTTGCCCTAAATGCTCCCTTCACGTGTCTTCTCGTAAATCTATTCAATGCACTATTCACTACTACGCAGTTGAATATGTGGTCTTTCTTTTCTCGTTAGTTCTTTTTTATCCTAGAGAGAAAAAGAGATTCGAGAGAGGGTATATATAGACGGGCAACAGTACGACATCCTTCATTTTACAAATTAAAGCAATTTTCATCATTTTCATTTCTTATAAACGTTAAACCAAAGTAACAATCATGGAAAACATTAAAGATGCTGGTCATGCCGTTTCAGAAAAAATAAAAGGCAAGAATAAATATATTTCTATATTTAACAATAAATATATGAACAATTTCCTTTTTAGAAGTATCAAGTGGTGCTTCATATGAAGCAAATAAAGAAGCAGCTAAAAATGATAATTTATCAGCAAGTAGCCGAATCAGTCATGGTGTTGATGCTGTTAAAGACAAAGGTATTTGTATAGTTATTTAAAATTAAAAAAAAACTAATATAGAATTTAATGTAGTCGATGAAAAGCATCATGAAGCAAACAAAGAAGTGTATAAAGAAAATGCTGAGGAAAAAGGTGTCATTGGTCAAATTGGTGATACTCTCTCACATGCTTATCACTATGTCGCTGAAAAAGTTTCTGGTTTGTATTATTTTTATTTTTATAAAATGACTAAAAATACATTTTTGTTTTTCGTTGTAGAAGTAACTAGTGGTGCATCGTATGAAGCTAATAAAGAAACAGTTAAAGATTCGGACAACACAATCGGTGAACGTGCTGGTGCTGGTTTTTCAGCTGTGGGAGATAAAATTGAAGAAAAATCTCATAAAGCTAAAGCTGAAGCACACAAAGAAGCTTTATAAATAATATTTTGGAGAATTTTTAACACTTATTTCTCAGATATATATATATATACATGTAATTCTGTTTATCTTTTCAACTTGTGTTATTATTCAAGCGTGTTTACTTATATAAATAAATAAAATTTAACCAAAGAAAAAAAAACAAACAAAATTTTTTTTTAATGTATATGTCATATCGAAGTTGTCTAGATTAAATTAAACAGTAAATCAATGATGATTTGAATGTCATCATTGAAAGGATAGAAAATTTCATTAAGATTTTTAAGAGTACGATTCAAATTCGGACTCATAAGAAATTGATCGATCATGTTCAGGTTCAAAAGCCCTGATGGACTGGGTTCGCGTGCGACTCCAACAAATTTTAATTAGTCAGATCGGGATCCAGAAAACTTCGATAAACATGCTAACTTCGATACGACATATATATCCTTGAATATGAAGTAAAGAGTATAAAGATTGAAGTCACGTAAGTTATGCAGCAATGAGACACGTGATCAACTTCAATAGGAGAACGAATAAAACTTTCTACGTATTCACACTATTGCAGACAGAAAAAGATAAAAGTAAAGCAAAATAAACCAGTATTCCAAAAAGAGAGAAAGGGATATTTTTATATCAATATTTTCTAGAAGTATGTAAAATTTTGTTTTTGCATTAACAATGTGAGTCAACAAGATAAACTACGCAGTTGAGTTAGTTCTGTTTCAAAAATAAAAAAAAAGACAATGTATTTTATTGAGTACAAAGATGATGTAAACACATATGTGTAATATATGAATCATATTGTTATTGTTTGGAGTGAAGTGAAGGTCAACGACACATTTGTGAATTCTGCATGTTATTCATCAGTTATTTGGTTCGAACGTTCTATTTTTTTCCCCTCTGTTTATATTAATAGTACGACAAGGTCAATAATTATAAAAATAACCATGAATGTTTTATTATGAATTGAAATTTTAAACAAGACTAACTTGATAGTTTGTATTAATATAATGGCATTGTACGTCAAATAATTGAATTCTTATTCAATCAAGTTATATTTCATAGGTGAATTATAAGTAATATTTATTTTTTCATAATTAGAATGAAAGTTATTTGCAATTATAAATTAAAAATATATCATCATAGTAGTTATACATATAGATTTATTTAAAGAGCGGTGTGAAAACTATCAAAAACAATTCGATCTATGAATTTATAAACAGCATATATTATCAATGTATAATTTTCAAGTAAATATTTCATGCAAAAGATCAAATAAAAATGATTAAAAAAAGATAAACAGACAATAACATTATTTAGCTAATTAATCGAATTGCAAAGATGGACATGATTCAAATTTCATGAAAATTTAAATCAAGTCAATGTAAATTTAGCAACAACTCAGCAGAGTATGTTAAATGCTCAGATCTTATTTATAGTGTTTTTGCTGTGCTGAAAAAATGTTTAGTCTAATAGAAATATGTTTAATACATATCTTCTCATCATCTATGTGACAAAATCTTCTAGAAATCCTTTATTACTTTAATTTGATAAAAAAATTGATAAATATTTCTACTAAATTTATTTTATTAGAGTTAATATTTGACAAGCACATGCAATTAAAAAGCATTAGAGTGATGGACGGATATTAATTGTAAGTACAAAAGGAAAGCAACTATCTGAATAAAATAATGCTTATACTCGATGCCAATAAAGCATACGTCCTACAGTACCATATGGTTGAATTTCAACTGGTAAAAGTTCTTCGATATCTTCTTGTTCGTGTTCTTTTTTTTTAATTTCAACTTGCTTTTCTGGTTGTTTTATTTGATTAAAACCAAAAGGCTTTGTTTCTTCTTTAATAACAGTTTTTGGAGATTCGTGTAAATTAGGTTTCTTCTTTTTCTTTTTCTTTTTTAATTTTAATGGTGGAACTTTTTCACCTTTTGTACTACTTGTACTTGATGAATCATCATTAATTGGCAAACGATAACATAAGGGTTGTTGACTTGAAATAGAATTTTCTCTTGATTTTAAACTAAGACATTCATTTATCAATGTATGAGTCGAATCAAGAATAGATGGATTTTTATCAAGATAAATTTCTTCAAGTTTTATTGGATATTTTGTAAATAAAGAAAGTAATAATTGTCCAGCAAATTCTGTTAAATTACAGCATTCTAAATCGAGATAAGTTAATGTTCGACTAACGGAAACAAAAATAAAAATAATATGAATTTAAATTTTCAAAAACTACCTTGATGCAATAAGCATACTAAGCATTGCTGCAATTGTATTATCAAATATGTTATAATCTAATGCTAATCGACGAATTCGACAACTAAACGCGATTGAAAAGAAGAGTTCTGTCCAACCAGCATTTGTAATCAATCGATTAGCACTTAAAATTAATTCTTCTAAACCTAAACAAGAAATAGAATGATAACATTTTCTGTTGTATTTTTATTAAAATTTGAAAACCTATTTTATTTTCATCAGGAATAATTAATGAACATATATTAGCGATTGATTTATTTGTTAATTTATTATCTCCAACATCTAATAGAGTTAATTTTGGACAATTTTCATGTAAAATTGAATAAAGTTGAGAAAACATATCATCATTTATATCATTACCATGAACTCTATTAAGATAATGCAATTTCGTTTTTGTATTTAGGATTTCTTTTAATATTACCGTAAATTAATAAGATTTGAACAATTTGACAGCATTTGAACAAATTTTTTAAAACGTTTGTTTTCACTGATCATTTGAATATTAAAAATAAGTGAAACCATTGATTTACCATTCTGTGATAAATTTTTCATTAGTTCATCAAAATCACTACATGAATAAAGTATAATAAAAAGAAACTAATAAATGTTCGAAAAACAAAAACAAATTTCTATTACGAATCTAAGATTGTACATCGACGAAATTCTAATGATTTACAAGTACTAGAATCAATTAATTTACAGATATTTATTATTTGTTGATGATTAATATTTTCTTCAATAAAAATCGTTTGCATGTTTATTAGAAAACGATAAAGAAAAGTTCAAAAATAATGTATTTCCCTCTCAATGAAAACAAAAAAAAATACTTTAATTCTTACGATAGTATGCACAGTAGAAAAACGTTATTTACAAAAAAAAAAAACAGAACCAATACGAATATTAATACTCTTCTATTCAAAGAAATAGTAGAACTTACTGCATATGAACTTATTGAAATTATCACATACCTACGAAGGAACATTCGCAATTTTCCAATTACTTTGCGCTTGAGATCATTGGCATTCCATCAATCAAGGTGAACACTAAAACACTCTGCTTTTGTTTAGTTTTAAGGTCTTCACTTGTCGATCTATGAGCAGAGAATTGCTGAAAAACTGAATGATCTAATTTGGATCTAAAATTTTGCCCACAGATAAACCTTATAGCCACTAGAAACACTCGAAAGTTTAAGCCAGAACAAATGTATCTTAGCTAAGATATTTACCTCTCAACAAAAAAACACCTATGTTAGACGGTGCTTCAAAAGAAGAATGTTTCTAATGACTATAAAACCTATCTATGGACAAAATCTTATTACAAAATTTAATCATGTAGGTCCTCAGTGATGCTATGTTCATAGGGCAAAAACCAAATAAAACATCCATAGATCGACGTACGAAGACTGAGAAGCCAAACCAAAATAGATTTTTTTCATTATTCATTATGACCGATCGAATAACATTAATCTCAAGCCAAAAAAAAATTGACAAATAATACTTACAATGGTTACTCAAGTAAAAGAGAATAATATAGTTACGATGCATCATAATGTAACATTGTAGAAAAAAAGTTCATTAATGCATGTTTATTGTGGAATACTCTATAGTCGTTCAACTAGAGTAAGTACAAAGAAGTCTTGTGTAGTAATTCTTATATATTTATCATCCAAGACCCAAGAATTTAGCATCTTATCATAAATAATCTGAAAAGAAATAGTAAACTACAGACGTATGAATCCATAAAAGCAATTCATATCTCATCGCTAGCACGCTTTGAACTACTTATTTACTATTTATTTTTCGTTATGCCATTCAACAATGAAAAGTCAAATAACAATATAACAGACTTATGATCATCTGTAGTAGACTTTACACACGAGTCTTTAAACTTTTTCCTAGTTAAATAAGAATAAATTAATTCTTGGAGTACTTTTGATTTTAAAGTATATAATCACATAATTTTTGCATAAATTTCTGTAAGTTAAATTTCTGTCGATCGAATTGTTGTTTTATTATGAGCAGAGAAAAACTTTTGACAGACAAATGCAGCTGGCGCTGCTAAAATTTAATGATTGGTTCAGTAGATGACTCATTCTTATTATTATTTTCTCTTTGTATATTATATAATTGAATTTTTTTTCTTTCAAAGACAAAAGTAATGGTTACATGGGAAAAAAAGCTTAAATTTTATTCACAAATGGAAGTGAAAAAAGTGAATTTGTTATCATTATTAATGTGAATATTTCAACATGCAAGAATTTCAAATAATAAATTTTCTTATTTTCTTTTCTAAGGTTCATCATCGTGCAAATATTTCAGTAACAATGTGTTCAATAGAAAGAAATCGTGATCCATTAAACAAATGTGCACACAATACCATGATTTATCTGGTAGTGATAGAAGTTGAAATGCTTATGGTGAAAAAAATTACCAGTTGGAAATTTACTTCTATAACATTTTTCGAATGGAAAAATCATTGTTGCTATTTATACTGGCATCAATTCTAAGAAATAATTTTATTTATTTTTGGAAATATTACAAGTTTTCCAAGCTGATAAAATTGATATAAAAACTACAATTATTAAAGCTTATCCTGAATATCTAAAAGAAGATTATAATGTGAGTAAAGATAATAAAAAATAAATTGAATTTTAATTAATATTTTCTTAAATGTTGTTCATCAATCAATCCATTATTATGAACTCAAGATAGCTGATAGTCAATATCACATGTTATCTAGTCAAGGACTAGGAATAGTATTTGCATTAGAAATAATTGAAGTACTTGATGGTTCATCAAAAGTCAAATAAATTCGAGAGGAAATAATTCTTAAAAAAATATATACGTATATTCAAGCGTTTATATTTTTTGATAAAAATCCAACCATACACTTTATTTTTCTAGATGACAAAAAAGCACTTAGTTTTATTGCTAATGGTAGTGAAGAAATTGAAGCAGTAACAACAATAGATGGTTTGTTTTATACAATTTTCATTGGTGAATTTTAATAATGTTGAGGATGATTTTTTTCTAGTGATGCGAAGAGCTGAAATTGAAGTTCATGTTGTTTCGATTGAAAAAATGGTCATGAATCTGTAATATGTAGTCGAAATATTCGTATTTTACCAGATAAATCAATTGATGATATTAGAAATAATCAATATGATTGTGTTGTTAACCCGGTGGTAATGATGGTTAGTAAAATCGTTTTATAATATGACTTAGATAACTTTTCTAAACGAAAAACTTTCATCATGGTTTATGAATATATGATTAGAAATGATTTAATAAACTAAATTTTCCTTCTATATACAGTTGACGACAAAAGTTTAAGCAAATTTGTTTTCAATTTTTCTTTCACATGAAGAGGTACTGATCTGATACAAGTGGTGATATAGATAGTACGAGAGACCAACTACATGATGCAGTATAGAAGGGGACTTCTTCTATCTATATAAATTTTTAATGATTAAAATAATTTTTTCTCAGCGAAAATAAGTTCTATTACTTTTAAGTATTTCACATTTCCTAACCAAGAGACTTGAGCTAAAATGAAAAACAATAGACCAGTCGATAGAGAATTTTACACTCTATCTATTTCTAAAAAAAAACGTTGTATCCATAGAGTTGGTCTTCACCTCAAAAATCTGATTTTAGCGAGAGTAGTTGGTGAAAAGTGGAATTAGTTCTCAGAGATTCCTTCTTTCGTTGTTGACAGTATGTTTTTTTTTCTTGTAATAATAATATCTTAATCACATAAGTATATTTATAATATAGGATCAAAGGTAATGGCAGCAAGTGCTGAAATTGGACAAATTCTAACAAAACATTATCAAGATGGTAAAACAATCGCTGCCATTTCTGCTGGACCACGAGCGTTATTATCACATAAAATTGGTGTTGATCATAAACATACTATAATATGTTATCCAACTGTACGGAAGGAATTTACTGATGGTGAACCATATAAATTAGATACACCTGATCATGCCGTTTGTCATAGCAAGCATATGATAAAAGGTAAAAAAGAATAGTACAATTTACTATTGTACTGTAGTGGACAAAAATGTCTGCTCCAGTCAATCTCGACTACTGTATGTGTAATTACAAAGGAAGTTATGATGGACGGCACTTATCGTTTGCGCTATTTTTTACTAAAAATATGACTAATTCTTGATATTTTTACATGAAGTTGGAGTTCTATCTACGATCTTTCTTCGCACAAAAAGAAAAGTTCATTTGCTTGAATATTGATGTTTCTGTATCCTTGCGCATAATAAAATTATTCTATGTTCCATTCCTGTTTAGTGTAAGATTGTCTTCTGAAATTTGCGCCTGATATTGTTATTAAGCAATAAGGGTACCGCAACCTCTGTGACCTATAATTTTTGGTGTGTTAGCGTCAATAGAGGTCACTCTATTATCGCTGACTGTCCAGTTGTTATATAGTGATTTTTCTTCTTCTTCTCTATGGTCCATATATGCATTTCCATTGGACTTTCCACTCTTTATCTAGATATATGTTTTTCTCTGCCAAATTGTTGTTTTTTCTTTTTACCGGTGATACATATACCTGATATCCTATCCTATTGTTTTTCCTATCTCTTTCCTCTTTTCTATTATTAAATATATCACATTGTTATATTAGTGTTTATATTAACACTAATAAAATCTTTCTTTATCTCCCTAACCCCCGTTTATCAACATATCAATAACCGGTAAGAATGTTTTCTTTTATTTTACGTAAGACTTCTCGTTCCCGTTGCAGACCGGGATCTAATATTTAACCGTCTTCTGGCCTAAACCATAGAGTGGGGCAAGAGTCTAGGACATTCCATAACGAGAGGCTTATATGGTGAAATACACAAACTTTCACACTTCCAATACATAGAGTGATCGAGATTGGCTGGGATGGAGATTTTTTTACGTCTGTATATGTATTGGCAGAGAAAAATTTAGTTTTGTTTTGTATTTAAAGGTGCTGTAGAAAACGAATATCATTTGGTTACAACTCAGGATCCTACTAGATCGATGGTTTTTGCGTTGAAACTTATTGAACTTCTGAAAGACAAAGATGAAGCAACGAAAGTTAAAGATGGATTACTTGCTTAAAATTTAATCATAAAATAAACATTATTTATTTTCGAATTAATTTAATTCGATAGTTTGATAACTGAAATTTATTATTTTTATTTTTAAAATAAAATAAAATCAGCTTTAAAAATTAATTGTTTATTAAATTTTTCAGATGCCTATTCCTCGTACGTCTATCGAATCATCACTATTAATGGCTACTACAAATGAATTAACAAATGGAAATGTAAAAGCAGCAAGCCAATAATAATAATATTTTTGTTATTTGTATAAGATCTTATTTCTTTTTTGTTCATAGAAAATACAAACATCAGATGCGAATTTATCTATGGAATATGAGACACCACCTATGGATATTTTGCCAATGGATGATGATGACGATGATGATGACGAAGAAGAAGTAAATTGATTGCTAATAATAAAAATAAAATGAATAATTATTTTGTTTTGTGTTTTTTAGTATGAAAGTGATGGTGAAGAACAAGAAATAGCATATAATCCTGCTTGTCATATATGTGGACTTTCATCATATACACATCAATGTCAAGGCAACTGTCGATATTATTTTCATCGTGAATGTGTTGGTGTTTTTGATGAACAACAAACTTTGATTTGTCCAGAATGTTTAGCAAGTATGATTAACTTGAACAAATCAATTTTGTAGAAATAAAATTTCGTTTGTTTTTTCTTTAAATTTAAGACCGTTTAATATGTACTCTGTGCCAACAAGTAATTACTGATAATGAATTAAAATGTGGATTTAATCAATGTAATCGAATATATCATTCATCATGTTTAATGAATTCAAATTTAACTGCAACTTTCCCATCGGGTGTAACTTATTGTCCTCTTCATACTTGCGCAACTTGTCATTTACATAAACGACCAAATGATAATATAGGTATTTTTATATTATATTTCAATCAATATTTAGACCAATTAAAATGAACATAGATTTGAGTATTTATTTAGAGAAATTTCGATTTTATTAAAGTTTATTTACATTTAACAATCGAAATTTGATTCAACTGTGACTAGACATAGAACAGCATTTATTTTTTTCTCTCTTGACTGAAGTAAAAATAGAACAGAATAATTATTCATATGTGAAGATCTGATTTACTAGAGAGAAAAAAAGATTCTTCTATGTAAATCTATTAATTCTAAGTGAAATCACATATTCTTTGAAATTTATTCGAAGATCGAATCTTGCCTAGAGCAATGAGATAAGCATGGTAGAGTTTTCCGGTTGATAAGAGTATGAGATAAATAATCACGTGTTTATTGACACTATGAAAACTCAAAGATAGATAAATTTCCTTTAGTTTTTCCGATTTTCCCCTACACTTCACTTTTTTTTCTAGGCGTGCCACTACAAACTGCTGACAAATTTTTCATCTCCCCAATTCTAATCCACCAATGATTCATATATAAACGAACTTAAAAGCATAATATCATCTAGAATTTCCTCTCATGTATAGTAATCATATTCATGATTGTAAGTTATCTCAACTTTGGTTCAAAGTAAAAATGTCGACAGACACTTCAGCAGATTCTTTTTTTGTTATGAAAATATATGAAAAGATAAATAGATTAAATTGAATCGAGTTGTCGACTAAAAAAAGAACGGATGGAAGATAAGTAAAAACGCTCACAATAAATAAGTTGATCAACATTAATTAAGTTTCGTGCTCGATCATCTTTTTTTGTCACAACAAAAGACAAGCTAGTAGAAGTGTGGACGGATGTGGGTGTGATGTTAAAGAAGATAAAATCTAGACACCCATCGTCACTCCCACAAGATTATAATTCAGCGTTAATTATATGCTAATGACATGTTTCTGAATACTTTTTCGAACGGATATCTTTTAATAATTCTAGCTTTTAACTTACAAATTTGTGGATATTTTTAGTTTTTGATATTTTTACCTTTCAAGTTTTTATTTCGATCAAAGTTGAGAGAATCAAGATTGTAATTGAATTCACATCACTTCTAGTTTTTCTTTTTCTTATCCTCAACCATTATTCTGGTTAATTTCATTTTAGAAAATAACCTTCTAACATCTTCAAATCAGTAAGATATTCTTAATTGTCAAAATATACTGAATATTTTATATTCAAATCTTAATGATCAGATACAAAATACTGAAATAAGATGTTATCATTGACATTTATGAATAAGAGAGATGTGCAGGATAAACTTTCTTTTTTTTGGCACCATATATCTTACAGAAATAGGGTAGGATAATTCTGCACATCTGTAATGAATAATTTATTTATATAAAAAAACGTTTCTATTGATAAAATGTAATTTTCTAGGTCATCTTTTTACCTGTTTGTATTGTCCAACAGCTTATCATGGTCATGAGCGTTGTCTACCAGCTGGTTCTCTATCAATATCATATTCATCATCACTTTGTTGTCCAATTCATCTTCCAAATGAACGAAAACCAGTACGTTCAAGTATTGCTCCATATTGTTACATTTGTGAGCAATCAACTCGAACAATTGAATGTTTTGTTTGTATTGAATGTCCAACAACTATTCATCAATCATGTTTAACATCTAAAGATGATGAAAAACCAACAAATTGGAAATGTGATGCTTGTTTAAATAATTTAAAACCATTATATGGTGATATATGTTGGATTAAAATGGGAAAATTTCGGTAACGAAAAATAAAATGAATGAATGAAAAAGAAAGAATAAATGTTTTGTTTTTCTAATGATTAGATGTTGGCCAAGTCGAATATTACATGAACGTCATGCACCAGATAATTTACTTGCACAAGAACGTACAGTTGGAGAGTTTCTTGTACATTTTTTTGGTTCAAAAGAATTTTTTTGGGCTAATAAACATCATTATTTATCATTTGAAAATCGTTGTATTAAATCAAAAGATTCACGTGATTTTCATGCTGCTGAACAAAGTTTTAAAGATGGTAAAAGGTTTTTTTTTTTGTTTTTGAAAAATCAAAAGAAGTTGTACTCTTTCAATTTGTTAGGTCTTCGCGAAGCTAAACGTCTTTATAATCGTTTAAAACAATTTTATGCAACAAATCTAGTTGAAAATTATGGTGAAGCAACTAAACTTGAAGAAATGACATTAGATGATGCATATGATGAATTAGAAGATGATGATGACGATGATGAAACAGATGATGAATCTGTGGATATGAATTCTGATGAATCAATAACAAATGATCAAGAAAAAACTTCAACAGTTAATGGACGTTCAAAATTAATTGATAAAAGTGCTAATAAAAGTGGACAAATGCCTGTTTATAGGCATATTAAAGTAGAAAATTAAAATTTGATGTATATTTCATTTTATTTGTTGTTTTATTTTAAGACATTAAAACCAGTTGGTGAAGCTCAAATTCTTCGGTTACCATTAGCAGAATTATCTCGTTGTGATTGTGATCCAAATAAACCAGATCCATGTAGTTCCGATGAACATTGTCTTAATCGAATGCTTAAATATGAATGTCATCCACATGTTTGTGCTGCTGGTTAGTTATAGACTAGTGACTTTTCTTTTTACAAAATTTTTTCATAATGTTTTTCTCGAACTAAGATCAAAACTACTTTTAGTTTTCATTATTTATTTATAAGATTATAGACTTGAATTATAAGAGATATGAGTATATGTTAACACGATAATGTATTGAATTACTTTCATGGCTGAATTCACCTACTTTTTTTTTGTTTTGAAAAATTTCTAGTCTTAACGCATTTTACGTTTTCTCTTTGTTGAACTCTATTGAAGACGGCAGAATGAATAATTAGCAACAAGTGTATAATTTTTCTAGCGTCTTTTGTTTTTGTTTCTACGATTTGATTTATGTCCTCATCAATCTTAAACGCAATAATATATAAGTCGAACAGGTGTATTTCATGGGAATAAATTAATCAGATATTTAATATTAATTTTATTTTTGTAATATTTCTGTATGAAAGAGAAATTGATGAAAAAACAAAAAGAGGACAATAATCTTGATTTTTTAAAAATTTTATTAAAGGAAAAACAACAGATTAAATTACTAGACACTAAATGTATTTATAAGATTATAAACTCTATTGTTTATCAGTAAAGCATAGCTTATTCTCAGAAAACTTGTGTCCTTTATACGAATGAAAAGATCTTTACGCTAATCTTTTCTTTTCTTTAAAAAAGAAAACGCTCATCAATTGTCATTAATTTATCACTGTAAGCGTGATTTAGTTCTATGCGACTCCAAATTAAAAAGCAAGGCATACTATATACCCCTCTTTTTTCACATGTACTATTGTAATGTGTAATATAAGTTAAAAATGCTGACAGTATATTCAATGATATCAACACCTATATTAATAAAGTTATTATGAACCTTTTAAAGGACATCATACAAATACTTTCAGCATTTTGTTCAACACCAAGAAATATGAAACTAAAGTATTGAAATCTTAATAATTGATAATTATTTTTCTACATTATATGAGATTATATTAATTAAAATGGAAATACGGTCAAACTGCGTCAATCTTGGAAAATAGAAAAAAAGAATATAATACCAGCTTTAGTGTTTTGCATTATATATATAGTATTATGTTTGATGAAGTCATGTCTTTTAATAATTCCAGTCCATTCTGAAATATAGTTGAAACGGAAGTGTTTAGGAATAGAAGAGAGTATGAATTATTCTGCTTTTTTTTGACATAAATGTTTCCAAATTATATTTGATTATATATAATTTTCTTTTTCCTTTTTTGTTCTAATTTAGGTGACAAATGTAAAAATCAGGTAGATTTTTATTTTAATAATTTTATTAAATTTAAATTTCATTTTTTATTTTGATTATTAATATTCAGCGCTTTCAAAAACGTAAGATTATTTATTCATTTGATTTCAATTAAAAATTGATGTTTTTCTCTTCTAGGTAATTATCCTGCTCAACAAGTGTTTTGGACAGCTGGTCGCGGTTGGGGTCTCAGAACTCTAGTACCAATAAAAGAAGTAAAAAATAAAAGAAATTTTTAATTAATCTATATATATATATGAAAATCAAGGGCGAATTTGTAAATGAATATGTTGGTGAACTAATAACCTATGAAGAAACTGAACGACGTGTTAAATTAGCTCGTAAGAATAATGTCAAAGATTTTTATTTCCTTGTTCTTGATAAAGATCGGTAAATGAAATAAAAAAAATACTAGGAGAAAAAAGAAATTGTAAACATTTATTAAATTAAATTTCGTAGTGTTATTGATGCTGGACCACGTGGAAATTTATCACGTTTTGCAAATCATAGTTGTGATCCAAATTTACGTACAGAAAAATGGAATATTAGTGGCGATCTACGTGTTGGTTTATTTGCTATACGTGATATTGCAGCTGGTAAATATATAGTTCGTCAGGCAATCTTGATAAAAAATACTAAGAAAAAAATTCATTTTAGGCGAAGAATTAACATTTGAATATGGTGTTGAATCGGAATTTCGTGGTGATACAATATTTCATTGTCTCTGTGGAGCTGAAACATGTACTGGCTTTATGGGTCGATCAAAAAGACTTGGCGGAGTAAATTCATAATGATTCTTATATTCTTAATTTGAAAAATTTTTCTTAGGTTCCATCATTAACTGATACATTATCACTAACATCGGGTACAAACGGAGTTTCAAACAGTCGTTATAGCAATAAACATCGTATACGTACATCAAATATAACTGGTGAACAAGATGTTGATACGTGTTTTGGTTGTGGTCTAACAGGTCAATTAATAGCATGTCAAATGTCAAAATGCTCAAGAAAATTTCATCCAAAATGTATTAAAGTTAAAGGACAATCATTTCGAAATCGTTCTCCAACTCGTAAATTCTCAAAACAAAAAAAATTATTTTTTTTTAATTATTTTATTCTATTTAGAACGTTGGATATGTCCATCACATCGTTGTGATATATGCGGTATTGATGCAAGCATAGCATGTGCTGATTGTTTAAATTCATTTTGTGCTGAACATCGAACAGAAAATATGCGTGGCATATATTGTTTACTTCATGGACATGAATAAATTTAATTCGTGTCGAATTTATTATGTTCTTTTTTGTTTCTGTACGATCATTTATATATGTCAGATGGTTGGTTTATTTTTTTTTGTCTGTCTCATTGTCTCTCTTGATTGTATTTATATGAATAGACTTGAAGAATGAATAAAAATAGTTAAAATACGTTTGACAATTATCAATCATTAAAAGAATTTCCGCTCAGTCATAATATGTAATTCTAGTCGAATAGATCATTTGTTATTATTACAAATGAATGCACATGAATAAAAATGTCTTCGAAGGATTCTTTTCATGCAGCCAACATAATTCAGCTTTTCTGTGATAATATGCAAAGTAACAGAACAAGGCGAATATAATATTCTTTTTGTAAAATGATTATAGTAATTTGAAATAGAATTTCGTGAAATTTTTCATTTTGTTGTTAAATTATCCTGTAAAAAAACTCTAATAGTTTTTTTTTTCTTCTTTGCTCTTTTTTTCCTTGATTTATTAATAATTTCCTTCATAATTCTTTTTTAACGGTTGTTGAATTGAATGCGACAATCATGAACAGAAAAAAAGAGAGAGAAAAGAAAACAGACATCTATTATCAAGGAGAAAAACGTGTTGATGAGAATGTTTTCCTATTCAAACTTAAGCTCATTCTATTATGCTTGTATGATGCTTCTCTGTTTCTCTCTTTATCTTATTCTTTTTCTTTCTCATAGACATGATTCTTCCGTTTTTCTGTCACATTATCGTCGCTTTTCAAAACATTATGAGAAGTTCCGTTCCTACCTATATGTGAATAATGCCTTCAAAGTATATATTAGCTGCAGTAAGTTAAAAGACGACACCCACAATCTTCTGCTGACAGCATTCTCACTAATATTAAAAAAAAATAGAAACAAAACAAGACGACAAGAAAAAAAATTTCTTTTAACCTATTTTTTGAATCGATATTATTTTGATTTCTATAAATATGGCTCTTCAATCGACAATAAATCCTCAAAATGTCAACAACGATAATAATAATGATGACGACAACGAACATTTTCATCGCCATAATGATCATGATCATCATCATGAGTACGATGAAGAAATCGATGAAACAGAAGATGATCTTATTGAAAATTATCGTTTTCTAACACAACATTGTGGTGTTCTACGACAATCTCCAACAACAAATGTATTAAATACAATACAACAACAACAAAAACAAATGCATCAATCTCCATTTTTACGTCATTATTCATTTATAGACGAAAATTATAATAATAATAATAAAAATAATAAAAATAATAATAACAATAATAATAATAATGAAGATGAACGTTCATTTTCTTCTACTAAACAATGGTACTCACCATTAAATGATTTAAATAATAATAATCATAATTATTCGACAACAATTAGTCGTATACCTCCAACGATTTATTATAATGATACAGAAGATGCTGAATTTAATGATAGTCATTCATTTTCATTAATTAAACTATTTGCACGTATGAAAGCACGTTTAAAACATGATAGACGTTATCGTCCTAAACCTACACATGAATTACTTTCGGAAGAAGATCCTCAAGAATGGTATGAATTAACAAAAAACGTTCGAACTATTGTAACAAAAGCTCTTTTACCTGAAGGGGGACATGATGCATTATCACATCGTACGAAAAAAGTTCATAGTAGACGAGGTTCATGTAAAAAATCACGTGAACTTCATCCTGTTCTGTCAAAAGATGATGATGATGAAAAAATCAATATTCAAATAGATGATGAATTAAATACAGAAGATAATGAAGAATTTGATGAAATAATGTGGAATAAATTTTTGACTTGTTCAAGAGGAATTAATTATAGACGATGTGGAGTTTGTAAAACTGTTGATCGACAACAATTTCAAGGACAATTAGTGTATTTTTATGGTGTTGCAAATAATATTTTAATTGATGAAAATTTAAAAGCATCTGGATTGGGTTAGATCGTTTGCTGTTTCTTTTTCTTTTTTTGTTTTATTTATTTATATATAAAATCTTCTTTCTTTTTTATTTATATCCATACAAATAACAAACAAGTGAAATAAAAAAAAGAATTTTAAGAAAAGAATATATATATATACATAATGTGATGGCGTATGAATTAAATATTTATTCAATAATGTGTGTATAATTAATAATTGTTTACGACAATGGAAAAATATAGTGTTCTTCCCAATTTATAGATTTCATAAGAAAAAGAAATAATGATAAGATAAAATCATCGATAGAAATAACTTATGTTTAATTGAACATGAAATAATTGTTCCTTGGAGAACTGAAGTACAAGAAGTCAGACATCAATTGAATCTTCAACTTTTTGTTTTGTAATAGAAATCGATATTATGATTATCTTTTTTTTTCATTCAAACAGAACCATAACTAAACTTGAATACTTTTCTTAAACAATAGATAGATCATTGCTGTTAGACAGTTTCTATTAGATATTTCATCGTCAATCTACACTGACTCTAATTATCAAGAAAGCAAAATGTCATCACATTTGAAGCTTATTCAATTACTCAAATTTCCGTTATTCATAGAATAGCATATTTCAGTATCATTCGGCATATTTTCCAATCTATGAAATCATATTTTTTAAAGGTCAAACTAGAACATGGATATGTTTTGTTTTATAGTTGCATTTACGTCATTTAGTTTTATTCTTTGAATAATATTTGGATAATCTTTCTCGTCAATCTCTTTCAAGTTATATTTGTTCGCTGAATTTTATTATAAATGTAAAAGTTAGCTTATGATGTGGCTCATATTCAACATCACGTACTTTATTGGTTCATATAACTGGAAGTCATTTATCTCTACAAGTCTTTGAATCAATATTTTAATATGTCATATTCTTTTTTTCTTATTCAGAATTAATTTCACACGAAATTCTATTGATATATTTAAAATCGTACTTACAAAAAGAATAAATTTACTTTTTCAAGTATCATATAACAATATTTTTTGTCATTTTTTTTTTGGATTTTCACACTCATTATATATACATAAATATATTTAACAATAGATTATAAATAACAAATTTCAAGAATGAAATTTTTTTTCTAAATTTTATCTTTTTCGATTTTGGAACATGATTGAATATATATTTTTTTGCTTCATATTTCACACATTGACTAGCGAACTCTTTCGTCATTATACGATTTATTGGTCGAAAAAAAGAACAGGCGCTTGAAACAAAGACCGTAGGCTCGTTATAGGCAAGTTGATTCTTTGTTCTTCATCGTATTTCATCATTTTTTTTGTTGTCGACCAGTATAGTTCATAATATCCTTGCAGTTCGTTTAAGATTCGAGTAAGATTTTATTTTAATTAAAGAAAAAAAGAAAAATTCATTGATGAAAAATATATTTGTTTATTGAAGAGATGATGAATTCGAATCGACACGTACTGCGGCCGACGCAAAATCGACTTCCACTTAAAGATGTTTCATCACAAAAATCTTCATCAATAGGAATAATAAATAAAACAAAATTAATAACAAATACAATTATACAACAACAAGAAAATGTATCACTATCATTAATAAAGAATAAAATTTCAATAACATCAAGACCTATTCTTACTGCAATACGTTCTATAAAACAAAATTCAAAAGAAAATGAAAATGATACTCAAATGTTTATTTCACCAATAGTTAAAAGAAATTTTGTTACCGAACAAAAATTATCTCTCTCAGAAAATAATAAAACACGTGAACAACTTGAGCAAGAATTATATGAATTGTAAGTAAAACAATTTTTATTTACGTTAGTTTTAGTACCTGTTCTGCACATTGACATCACAACTATAAGAAAAACAGCTGTTACATTTTCTATGATTTCAAGTGAGTTACGCTATAAAACACATCAATCAATGTGAAAAACAAATGACATCCATTGACTCAATTAATCAAAATATAAGCATTAAAAATTTTTTAAATGTTTAATGCAAACAAAATTTGAAATAGTTTTCTCTTAACCAAGACGAGGGTCTAGCAAGACTATTATCAAGACCAGTGGTAAATAAAATAATGCTTGTAACACCATTGATCGCATATAAACTAACTTGAATAATAATTATTACAGCTCTGTCTATAAGTGAATCGAATAGTAGAATCAGTCGTTTGGTTACGCACTACTATTAAAAATCAAAGTACGCGTTCAGATCTATAATCATTGATTTCTTCAACGCTAGAATAAAATATTGAAAATAAGAAGATTTGAAATTTAATAAGCAATGAATTATATTGATGCAGAGTTTTGTAAGAAATATCTAAGTAAATGGTATACTATTGGATGTTTCGGATGCTAAGTTATGAATATCATTTGTTGTTTCCTCAAGATTCAAGTATACGATGAAGAAAAGGCAGTAAAAGCGTTTTCTAAATTTCGTTGAAAATGATCTCATCTATTGTTTTGAGTGAAAATTACATCGATTATATATATTTTTCTTGCAATTGAATTTTACCTGTTTGTTATTTCTAAAATTATTGACTTGTACATAACTCCGATTCAGACCGGATTTTCTAATTAAGATTTTTTGCCATTTTTTTCTAGACCTGAATATCGTCGATCGATCTTTGAACATTTAAAATCAGTAGAACATATTTATGCACCTAGTAAGTGTTTCTCACAAAACATATTTTCCCATATTTTGAACACGTTTTTCGTTCTAAGAAGTGAATTTTATGGAATATCAATCGGATACAAATTCTGCTATGCGTACAATTCTTATCGATTGGCTTATTGAAGTTGCTGATGAATATAAATTAAATGATGAAACACTTTTTCTTTGTGTACAATATGTTGATCGATTTTTATCAACAGTAAATGTAACAAGATCAAAGTTACAATTACTTGGTCAGTTTTTATTTTTCTAACGAGAAAAGATAATGAATCTTGTTATCATTCTTTTTCTATTACATAGGTACTACATGTATGTATGTAGCATCAAAATATGAAGAAATGTATCCACCTGCATTAGAAGAATTTTCATTTATTACGGATAATACATATGAAACAAAACATATTCTTCGTATGGAACAAATTATTATGAAAGTAAGTTGATTAATGTTGAAAGAAATTTCATTTCGAAAGAAAAAACCCAAGAATGACAATTTTCAATAAAAGAGAATATTAAATATATATAGTAAACCATTAGACGGTTATATTTTATCTGTAAAATATTAACTCTTTTTTATAGATATCTTGAAATAATTTTAATAGAACTGTTTTATAATCAATGGACAAAAGTTCTTCGTTCGGGATGGTCTTTAATTCGATTTGTGTTAGAATATGTTGAATCAATGTCAGTATTAGAATTGAATAAAGATGAGTGTAATTAAAGGGTATACTTCAATAACAGTAATTAGAAGTTCATTTCAAATTAGTAAGACTATTTTCAGATAAATTAAACATTTAATTCTCTTTGATTGATAAAGTAATTCGATAGTCATTTATATATAAAATGAATTCTGAGGTCAATGATTTCAGCTGCTAGGAAAAGGTAAAAACTTGGAAACAGTATTACTTAGGGTGTACCAAAAGTTCTGATCACGGCGTTACTTAGCCATATAGTAAGCTTTAAAAATCTTTCTTTCTATATAAGCCTGATAGAGGAAAGAATGCTCTATTTTTCTATGCTATTTGATCATACTTCAACTAATATTATGATAATAAATTTTGGATAAGACTTTTTCCGTTATCGTCTGTGGTCTAGTAAGTTTTGGATTGCAGTATCNGGATTGGATACTGCAATCCAAAACTTACTAGACCACAGACGATAACGGAAAAAGTCTTATCCAAAATTTATTATCATAATATTAGTTGAAGTATGATCAAATAGCATAGAAAAATAGAGCATTCTTTTCTCTATCAGGCTTATATAGAAAGAAAGATTTTTAAAGCTTACTATATGGCTAAGTAACGCCGTGATCAGAACTTTTGGTACACCCTAAGTATTGTTAACGTATAAAAATAGAAACATTGTTTATACAGTGAACAAGGAGCTTTGTTATTTTTTCTTCAATGAGTGAGTATTGGTTTTAGTTATAATTCTTCCGACTAATGGGAATATAGGAGCATTTTGATTCGTGATTTTACAACAATTAGTAAATAAATTTCACATAGATACTATATATTTTTTAAATCCACTGAATCGAATCTATGACGAATAGGAGCGACGCGAGGGAGATTTTAAAAAGCAAAGATGTCTTAGATCGCGTGTGTGTCTGATCATTACGGTTTGAGAGAGTAATAAATGATTATAAATACTAATGAAATTGAAATTTAATGTTTTTCTCTAAACAGTGCAGTTGATTTTGTATGACACATAATGGTTCTTATAGAAAAATTTAGTATTTAATGAATGTCATGAAATCGCTTAAATTCAAAAGCTGAAATGCATAAATAGTTTCAAAATGATTCCAAGTCGATGATTACGACGACTGTAAACGACGGGATACGGCGACGTTTACGGTGAATTGTCGCCGTTAACCGCGGTAGCTAGTTTCAAATAAAAAAAGATTCCATTCTTGAATTGAACGACTCTGATTCATGACCCCCTCCATTATTTCGTTCTACACACTGAACAAAGAACAAAAAACCATTATCCATATCAATAAAATGCCTTTAAACGCCCCTTTCACAAAAAGGCGTTTATACTTTGGACACAGAAAACACTGCGGCCTCTCCGAAAAGAGTCTTTAAATACCTGTTTCTATTAGAGTCCATGCTGCTGGATGAAGAAATCATGGTATATACAGAGTTTGAAATAAAGGCATTTATACAAGGAGAAACGTCGTACTTTTGCACTTTGTACTTTAATATACTTCATTGTACTTTACGGTAACTGACGGTACTTCATTGAACTTTGGCATGGGCAGCTACAGTTCTATGACTCTTAACCTACGTGGTCACTGATTACGAAGTAACGGAAATTGGGAGATCTCAACCTTTTAGCTTAGAAAGGAGTATTTCGAGAAAATAATGATTTTCTATAAAGTTTGACGAAAAGTGTCGAAGTGGAGAGTTTTGAGCTCACAACTTATGGATGTTAAATTTGGTATAGATGCATGATTGTATCGAATCGAACCACTTGCCCTTGTTATAAGTTAAGGTGACGGAAGAAAAATTTTAGAATATCTTATATTAGTTTACGGGTTATCCAGAAGCGTTTTCATGGATCCTGTGGATTTCTGGTGTTTTGTTATGGAAAACCATCTTCTAAGTACAACAATACGATTTTTTTATTAGAAGTACCTTTCACCGTTTAAAAGCTAGCACTTCTGAGCTTGGTTGAGTAGAGTTTGCGTTGAATCCTGGAAATTGTTTTCATGAATGCAGGGTTTTCTTGGTAAAAGCTAGAAATATCAAATGTGGAATGGAGGGCAACCTGTTCAGAACTGGTTTGAATTCACGTAATAGTTGACCAGGGCGTTCGATTTTGAATAGATGCCTTGAGGGTGGGGGGGGCAGAGATGCAACAAGCAACGAAGTCGTTGAAATGACTTCAATTTTTATGCAGAAATGTAATATGATAAAGACCTTGCATGGAAAATGTCTATTTATGAATTATCCGTAGACGTGGTATTAATTCGAATAGTAAGAGAAAAGTATTTGATGCGCTATGTTCAGTGTTGAGTGCGAGCTGTTTTAAGAAGATTAAATCCACAAGGACGAAATGCCACATAGTGTTATTGGACTAAGTAATGTATGATACTAAAGAAGCATAGAGAAAGATATATATATTATTGGGTCAAAAAATATGTCCGCTGACAAGTGGATCCTTTTTAATATAGATGCTGAGGACACTTGATTTTTCATGTGACTTCAGGATAGTTATCAATTTCAGTATGATAGGTTTTGTTCCAACATTTCTATCTTTATCAGTGCTTATGAGTTAACCATATATGTTCGCAAAATTACGTCTTACCAAAAATCGTATTGCATTGCACTTTGCTTTGCATCAAAAGCTATTGATAAAGGATGAAAAGACCTGTTACGCTTATTCAAAGGGATTCCTAACGATAGTACAGGATGACAAGCGATTACAAAAGGTCAACAGCGACTATGGGCGGTCACTAGCCACGATTGAAAATCACAAGGAACTAATAAAGATTACCAGACACTCTCAGGTACACCAGTTGACTACCTGGAATTACTAGGGACTACTAAGAAATACCACAGTTTCCACGCAAGTAACAGAAACTATCAGTCATCCCAAAGCACTAACAGTAGTAACCATTTTTTAATAAGTACGAAGGCCCACCGATCCTGACACCCACCCCAGATAGTAGCAGACTCTGAGACACTCTACTAAAGCTATTCGTACAAATGATAAAAATCAATACTGTCTTGCGGAGAACAAATCATGCCTCACAAGTAGCATTCGAAATCGTCAAAGTAAAAGGAGCACAAAGAATTTCCGAACCGCACTGTATTCGTCGTTTTGAACTGAATCTTTGAACTTTCAGCCTTTCATTATGAGAGTTTTATTGAACTTGGTGAACCCCACCTACCCATAGAACTTTAATATTTCATGAAGCTTCACAAAATGCATACAGCTCTCCAAACAAAAGCAGCACGCATCATTGCATGAAATAATGAAATCTGTGATATATTTAACTGCACCCCTTATAAATTTGAGGGGTCAATTTGTGGACCCCCTCAAATACAATCACAAGAGCCTCAATTCGTGCGCAGATCCACACCAGCACAGTTCCTGTCAAAAGCGCAAATTCAGTCATAACCACATTGTGATGCTTTCAGTGGCATTGTTTAATTGGCTCCCAGCATACAAACACATACTTGTAGTTCTGCAAATCAGTTTCGAGAAAAACGACGGCTCGAATTCGAATATACTATCGATGTCGCGGAAGCTGGATGCTAATGAACCTTCCACTCTGCAAGCAGCATTGAAGTATCTCACATCGAAAAACCATTTTGAACAACCAACAGAAGTGACAACCTACGCACTCACATTAATACTCTGAAATACACTATAATTAAGCTTAGCAGCAAGATTGATTTTTCACAATAGGTGATACAAGGTCTTATCATAGATGTTCATCTTTGCAGAGCATCCCTTTCTTCGTCTAAAAATCGAGTTCCCAATTTCGAGAAACCGATTGCGGATTCGAATTCACCGATCCTGATTTACTTTTGTTAACCTTTATAGAAAATCCTTATTTTCTAGAAATACCTCTTCTTAAACCGAAAGATCGAGGTCTCCCAATTTCCGTTACTGATTATCCGGCAACATAACGGTAAATTCCCACCCCTGATTATACTTCATTGTAGTTTAACGTATGTCAATGTACTTTAAAGTACAAAAGTACGATGTTTCCCCCTTGGTATTGATACAATCGCTATTGTTCATGTGATCAATATACAAATCGAGCCATATCAGGATTAGGTTGAGAATCATGAGCATAACGAAGCTGTCGTGACCTTACACTCATGTGTTCAATTGTTTCAGCGATAGCAACAGTACTACTTGTTGTTGTCGACTTTTTGTTTTTATCCATAGTGTGTGTTGTGTTGTATCAATGGAGGAAATAAAACAAAATGATCTGTATTCATATAGTATGTTAGAATGTTTTGTTGATGTTTCTTTTAGTCTTTTTATTGTTATTGTCATTGGAGTTCTGTTGAATTTCGTTTCACATAGGTGCTCGTTCTGTTTTCTTATCGGTTTTTATGTATAGTGTCATGAAAAAATAAAAGGATGAAAGAAAAAAAGACATTCACTGTAATATAATTCATGGATGGATGTTAATGAAGGGATAGAGTCCTGCGGGACAGTCCCGAATTCCGAAAAATCCCGTTTGTCCCGTCCCGTGGGACAAACGGGACTGTTCCGAAAATTTTTCGAGACGGAACAAACGGGATCGGGACAATTCAAAAAATTTTGGGACCGGACAAACGGGATTCGGGACAATTCGAAAAATAATGTTGTCCCGAAATTTTTGAGCTTGTATATCGAAATCCGTTGTAAACTTTAATTTTCATATTGTTCACAAACATTTTAGTATTTAAATAAAAAGTGTCAAAGAAAAACACAAAAAAACAAGCCACGAGATACTTTAATATTTGTCTATTATCATTCTCTTTATCAGCGATTTTACCTCTAATGCCATTTAAACACATCGTCTTATTTGGCTAACGCACTTCACCGATCAATTAGTGTATGGATGAGAGCAAGAGTGTATTACAATTACAGTTGTACTTTATATTAATTTATTTTTCTAAACTTCGCTATAGGCAGATAAATACTTTTTAATATTCGAAGTTCGGATATTTCGCTCGACCTATAGCAAACTTTAAATTTTATCCGTATCTGAACGTTTTTTCTGATCGACATTGTATAGTCAATAATACTTATCAGAAATTCATAAATCATCTCATAATCATAGATATGAATAAATTGTTTCGATTGAGCGTATATAGAAGACACGTACTGCTATTGAACAAAACCACATCTTTATTTTTTTCCCTTTCCGTGACAAACGGGATTTTTCGGGATAATTCGAAAAAATTCGGGACGGGACAAACGGGATTCGGGACTATTCAAAAAATTTCGGGACAGGACAAACGGGATTCGGGACATAGAAAAGTTTGTCCCGCAGGTCTCGATGAAGGGAACAAACTCATCCACCCACATGTAATTTTTCATTCATTTAGATTTATAAGTTCGTATCGTTTTCTATGAAAGATAACAGTTACAAACGTATAGAAGCATGATTGTAATCAGAAACTAGAAACATAATCAGATTTTTACACTAGCTTTGTCTATAATTCGTCATATCATTTTAAAAACTATACTTTAATTGTACAAGAATACTGTCTCATGATCGTTATTTAGTTATTTTTATATACTAGTAATTCCAATTATTACGAGAGTTCAAAGTTGAGATGTCTCTGATTATCTATACAGTTAGTTTTTGATTGAGTGAAACTATTCAAAAGAATTTTCGTGACAAGTTTTTAACAGTATCAGTTTCGGTCTGTAATTTTTTATTGAACCAACAATCTGTATTTGAATATTTACAGACTGGAAATGCATGATAGACATTGGTAACATTCTAGTTTCTGTTTCATCACAACTCATGAACAAGCAAGGGAAAAGAATTATCATTACATTCTAAATCTTCAGTGTTCACTACAATTATATATTGCATAAATCTTTGAATGATTCTCGTGATAACTGAATCTAAGCGATCGTTAATGATACACCAATACTTATGTACAAAGAACAAGCATTTCTCTAGATCCATTTGAGATGATATATAATTATGACTTGTTGGACGATTGAAGCCAAATTATGATAGGAAAGAGAATAATCACTGAATCAATTTTTTCTAAATCCGATTCGAATCATTCTAACAATTTTAATCAAATAATTCAAAGAAAAAAAAAGATTCATTCATAAATAGATTCAATATTTACTTGCTACGCATAATGTTTTAAACATCTGAAAAGATTTCTCTGGTCGTAGAATTCACGTCATTGTTTCTTTTGACGATTCGATCATTAATATATAAATTGAGAAAATAAGTAAATAAAAAAAAAAAATTTATTTAAACTACTGTCAAAAGAGCAATCTCAATTGTACTCATTTTAAAATGACACAAAAGAAAAAGAAGAAGATTGTCAGAAGTTTGCCGGTGTTTTTGCTTTCCGTTTCTTTCTTTATTTATTATAAAAGATTTTAATATAGTGATCGTGATTGACAATGAATAGTAGGAAAAAAATGAGTACTTTTTATTCATTAACCATTCTTTTCTCTTTTTTTTTTCTTTCTTTTCCATAATCGTTTACACAATCTAAGTTTATTTTCTATATTATGTTTTACATAGAAAGAAAGCTTTTCATTATATCGATATAAAGCGGACTTATTCTTATTTATTAATCATATTGAAATATAACTATGCCTGAACCACGTTCTACTGATGTACAAGAAGCTGAACTTATTCAACATGTTTTTTATGGCAATTTGAATAATTTACCTAATCTAGCTTCAAAAATTGTACGTATTTTCACCTCATCAACATTTACAGGTAAATCGATTAGTATTTTTTTTTGACTATAAAAAAAATATGAAAATTTATATATTTTTAAGATACAAGTATGGAACGTAATTCACTTATGCAACATACATATCCAAAACTTAAAGAATATTGTCGAGAAAAACATGGTCTAGAATTTCAAGTAGTTGATATGCGTTGGGGTGTACGTGATGAAGCAACAGATGATCATAAAACAACTGAATTATGTATGCAAGAAATTGATAATTGTCAACGAGTTTCAGTTGGACCAAATTTTGTGGTATAAAATATATTTAAACTTATAAAAATTTCAAGATTTTTCTTAAAATTTAATTATTTCACATAGGTATTTCTTGGTCAAAAGTATGGTTATCGTCCTTTACCCACGAAAATTGAAGAAGCTGAATTTCGTATGATTTTATCTGTATCAAGTTCTGAAGATGCTCGATTACTTAATCAATGGTATAAACTTGATTCAAATAATATTCCAAGCTTATTTTGTTTGCAACCAGTTAGTTCAATTTTTATTAATTTTACTAATAAAGCTCATCCTCGTCTTATGGAAGAAGATCAAAGTCAATGGTGGGAAACTATGGGTAAACTTAATCGAGCAGTACGTATTGCTGCTTTAGAACTTTTAAATCAAGCTAAATTTACAGCACAAGATAATCATCGATATAATTGGTCAGGTTGGTTAATATAATGCATATTTTTTAAACAGTAATAAAAAAAAGATTTCATTCATTAAATTTAGTTACTGAACAAGAAGTTGTTCGAGGAATATTAAATGCTAAAGATAGAATCGACCATACATTAGCGTTTTTTCGTCATATTGAAAATATTAATATTAGTTTATTACGGCATTCAATGAAATTTATTGATATTGCATCAAAAAAAATTGATGAAGAAGCCCAACGTATGTTATCTGATTTACGTGATGTTCGTGTAAGTTGAATAATTAATAGAAAGAAAGAAAGAAAGAAAGAAAAAAAAAATTAAAATGAATGAATATCAAATTTAGGTACCAGCAACATTACCTGAATCAAGCATAATTCGATATACAGTTGAATGGTCAGATGAAGATGGTTTAAATAAAACTGTTCATGCCGAATATTTACAAAATTTTATTGATAAATTTTATCAACGAATTGTAGATTTAATTGATTGTGGCGTTGGACAACAAAAAAGTTTAGCAACTAATCGGTATCAATTAAAATTTTGTTATCAAATATTAATCTTATAGTCGATCTTAGAAATTGGTCTTTTTTAAATTTAAAAACAAAAGAATATGTAGTGCATTCATAAATTTCTTTCATTTTATTTATTTCTTCATTATAAATGTTTGAGTGAAATTTTCAGCCTGTTAATTTTCTCTTGATTAATCTATTTGCATGAATCATTAGATATTAAATTGAATTTATATTAAATTATTAAAGAAATAACTTTTGACGTGTCATTTTTTTTTTCGAAAAATGTTTTTAGTAAAAGGTTATCATGATAATAAGTACATACAAGATTGTTTCGAGCAGACAATTGAGAGAAGAAATAGATTCGATCATTCGAACCTGGGAAAAATCACTTTTTTTCTCTAGAAGAGTAAAAGGAAAAATTTTGAATCATTCCAAAGATTTCCATTTGTTTGTGATGAATGTAGATCGATCTGTCGACTTCGATCTTTCCGAGATGTAACTTACGAAAGAAGGTACCCACGCTTGAATCACCAATCGAGTGCATCTTCGCTCATATGTACGATTCTTCGAGACTAGAAGAATCCTAAAAGATTTGTCATCATAGGAAGTCCTTCTGAAGTGACAGCTATTTTACTGCCTTTTCAACCTCTGGTCATGCATTAGCTGAAAAATCAAATCAAGAAATATGCATCAGAAATAGTGTCTATAAACTGTACTCTCAATCAGTAAACTGCCAGAAAAGTTTTAGTCCATATGAATGATCTCTTCTAGAGATATTGAATGGAAGAAAATATCAGTTTTTATAGAACGGTGATAAAATCAAATCTTTTTCAACGTTCAATATCTCTAGAAGGTTTCATTCACATTGACTGGAAGTTTCCGGCAAAATTTATTGGTGCTGCAACCTGCCTATAGGTAAAGTTTTTGGTGCAGATTACTGTATTCGATTCGTCAGCTAATATTTGGCCAAAAGTGGTAAAACTATTAAAATAGCTATAACTTCAGAAGGACTCTATATAGGGATGAATACATAGGTAGTATCCTTCAAGTCTTGATGAGTCTTACATATAAGTGAAAGATGCGCTCCATTGTCGATTCATACTTTGGACCTGTGCCTCGTTAGTATATATATTTGCGTTACACGAAAAATTCTTTTGCACCAACTAATGGATTGTTGTTTCTATATCAGCCATAGATAAGGTTTCATTTGATATAATATTAACTTCTCTAGAATGGTACCAATATATACTAGAGAGCAAATAAGATTTAAGTAATATCGATTGTCTTTATGTCTAATAGAAAAAAAAAACAATAATTGGTAAATTTTTATTTTTGTATTATTAGAGTCTATACTGAAATTCTTCAACAACTTCATGTTGTAAATTATTTCAGTCAAGATTTTCAAGGACGTACTGATATTCTCGAACGTGTACGCAATTATGTTGAAGGTTCTTCAAAACAACCATTAGTTTTATGGGGTGAAGGTGGTTGTGGAAAGTCAAGTATGTTAGCAAAAATAGTATCAGAATCTAAATCCTGGTTTGCATCAAAAAATTGTTCATTAATAAGACTTGTTCGTTTTCTTGGTACAACGCCTGATAGTTCATCAATTGGTCCATTATTACGAAGTGTTTGTCAACAAATAAGTTTATTGTACGACGTATCAGATAATGTTATACCAGTTGAATTATCTCAATTAACAAATCATTTTAAACGTTTATTAGAAAAAGCAACAGCAGATAAACCATTGTGTATTTTTTTTGATTCATTAGATCAATTATCATCTGCTGATGGTGCACATTCAATGTCTTGGTTACCACCAACTCTTCCAAATCATGTTAAACTTGTAAAACGAAAAAACAATTTCTTTTGAAATCTTTCTAATAAAAAAATTCGTTAATTATAGATTGTTTCAACATTACCAGGAATATATAACATATTAAATACACTTCGAAATATAATTGATAGTCGAGAAAATTTTGTTCAAGTAAATATATTTTTAAGAATTTTTTTTTTTTTATTAATAATTATTGTTTTTTCGAATTTAGATAAAACCATTAGGTGAAGACTTAGGTAAAACAGTATTAAAAGCTTGGCTAGCTCGTCATCATCGAACAATATCTGATGCACAATGGTTTGAATTTCAATTTTTTTTTCTTTGCAGTTTTTAAAATTCTTTTCATAAAATAGGGAATTAGTTCATGAACGTCTTGCTGAATGTAATATTCCGTTATATGTTAAATTAGTATTTGATGAAATAAAATTATGGAAATCATACACAAAACCACAAGAAAAAGATTTAGCTAAAACAGTATCAACATCAATATATAAATTATTAGGACGAATTGAAAATCAACATGGACACATTTTAGTTGAACATGCTTTATCTTATATAACAGCATCAAAATCAGGTTTAAGTGAAGCCGAATTAGAAGATTTAATATCACTTGATGAAACTGTTTTAAATGATGTTTATCAATATCATTTACCACCTATTCGACGTATACCACCATTGTTATGGACACGTATAAGAAATGATTTACCGAATTATTTAGTTGAACGTGAAGCAGAAGGTGTTAGTGTTGTTAGTTGGTATCATCGACAATTTGCTGAAGGTAATATTCATGGTTTTCTTTTTTTGACAATTATATTTCAAATACATGACAGATATAGATGATTCTTTTGGCAGATTTCCATCATGATTTTCTCATTTACTTCGAAGACATACTAGCATTATAACAAAAGAGTGAAAATTAATTTTTCGCTGATTACTTCAAGGAGACATGAATAAATGAGGAGATATTTTAAGACAATCAACATGTCTTTAGAGTGAAAATTCCAATAAATTTTCCCATCGTAATCTAATATAACCTACTATTAATTATTTGAAACGTCGACATTCTTGAACGAAAAATATATATAATTTCTTTATATCCAAGCATTTATATTGCAATTGATTTGCTGCCAAAGAAACAGTCTTTAGCATCGATTACTAGAAGACAAGATAAGATGGGGGCTCCGATTCCAAAACGCCGGAAACGCAAAGTCACAATAGACGAATATTTAATGAGATTTTGGGAACGATCTGATGAAGGTCTTATTGATATTCCAACGTTCTTAAAAGCTGTTACATTGAGATATTTTCAATGCCTATCAAAAATCTAAATAGCCATCTCTGCTTTGTTTTTGTTCTGACAATATATTAATTGTTGGCCGTGTCTATTCATTTGTTCATTTCTCTTCTTCAAAATAACCAATGCACAGTAAATCGCCCAGACTCATATGTAATGATATGTCAAGCTTAGAGATGTGTGGAATCAAATTTAGTTCTGATTCCAGAATCAGGGTCATAGAAAAAGAAGTTGCCGAAACTACGACAAAGAAAAGAGTTGTCCCAACCGGAACTAACGATTATAGTCAAATATTCTATAATTTTAAGGGCATCATCTTATAAATCATATCAATCAGAACATAACTCAAAAGAAGCAACTCACAAAAGTGCTAGACTACTCTAGATCAGGATTGTCACTATATCAGATTTACCGAGACTAACAGTACAACAAATTCAACGTCGTGGCATTTAATATTGTTTGGTTTTGGTTTGGATATTGGCTTCAAATGACCCAAATATTCAAGAATTTAGTACGATAAGGTGAAGCGAACAATGATCTACTTTACTAGAGGTGTGGCATAACCAGAAAAAGAGTTTGAGATTTTAGACTAAACCCTTAGTACTTGAATTTGGTCTTTCGCAAAAGCAATATAAATTGTTTGCATTTCGAAAATAATCACAAAATTGCAAACTATTTGTGTGAATCTGGTTCAAAGACAAATCCTAACCCACTTGGTTTCAAATCTATTCTAGAATTCTTGTACTTGTAACAGATGGACTAACAAAATTGGTTCTATACATCTCTAATAGGCCTAATTTTTAACGTCAACTTTGCATTTATGCATGTAACTGAATCAAATACAAAAACGTATCTGTATAGTTGATTGAAAGTAGACATCGGCTTGAATTTGTTTGTCAGTTTTATTTTATTAATTTTTACAATACTTGTAAGGTCGTGAATTTGTCTACATTTGATTGACATATTATTTCTTCATAGTTTCTCATGAACGTTATTTATCAAATCCAGACGAACGTCGAATATGTCATTCTAGTATGGCAGATTATTATCTCGGTATATGGGCTGGTCGTCCAAAACCATTTCAATTTTCTGATCATCAAAAACGTATGTTTAATATATCATCAACGGATAGTGAAGCCGATCGTAAAGTTCCAGCTCAACCACTTATATTTAAGACAAATAATGCAGCAGCAGCAACAGTTACTACAACACCAACTGTTCGTTATAATTTACGTAAATTAAGTGAATTACCATTTCAACTAATACGTGCACAACGTGAAGATGATTTATATAATCATGTTTTATTTAATTATGATTTTATTCATGCAAAATTATCATGTATGCCATTAAATTTATGTATATTTGATTATGAAAGCACATTAGAATTTGTTTATGATAAAGAAGTAAAAAAAGAAAGAAAGAACAATAAATAAATTGTGAATTACAAAAATTTTATTTATTTATTTGCTTTAGGTTAAATTAATGAGTGATGCACTTCGTTTATCAAGTTCAGTTTTAGCTGCTGATCCAAATAATTTAGCATGTCAAATAATTGGTCGTCTATTACCATTTTATACAACATGTCATAAAATAGCTTCATTTATTGATCAATGTGAAAGTACTGGTTTACAAGTTATGGGTCTTGTACCAGCTTTTAATACATTAGCATCACCTGGTGGTCCAATTGTTTATTCATTAGAAGCTCATCAATTTGCTGTTTATGGTCTTGAAGTTATCTCATCTGGACAATCTCTTCTTACTGTATCAAATAAATTTATTGTTTTTGATTTATCAAGTGGTGATATTGTACGCATTATTGATCCTAGAATAGAAGGTATTATGACATATTTAGCTCTTGCATCTGATCAACGTTATTGTGTAACAACAACAATAAGTAATCAATATATTATATGTAATTTATTAACTGGAGATTTTATTTTACGTGATTATCAACCACAAACAAATAATCAACCACAAACAAATAATCAACAACAAACAAGTGGAAACACAACTAAAACTAATAATAAAACAAACAGTGGACAACCAACTAATCTTTTATTAGGTGCACATGCGAGCAATACTCATTTTGTATTATGGTCGGCAAAAATGTATGAAGTATATACAAATAAAGGTATGAATACACGATATGAGTTAAGTTTTTGTGAGCTAATTCGAGTCAAATATTGAAAGACATTGAATAAAATCCGTTAGTATTTATTCAATCACACTAAGCAAAGCTAAGTGTTCGAATTATATTCATTGATATATAGTATAAAAAAACAATAGTTCGAGAATAGAGCTTAGAGACCGACGGTCTCAGTATCAGTTCCTAAAACGCATCTTTAAAACCGATGATTTAATAATAGTAAACGAGATAACTGATATAACAAATTGCTTTCAGAAACTTCTAACGAGGGAACATCGCCAACTGTACAATCCCTTTTGAGTTCGGACTTTGTGCAAAAGATAGACCCCCGTGAGGTATGAAAAACCTCTAAAGATTAAATCCCTTTAGACCTTCTGTCCAAAGTTAATGGCATTTTACCAGAATNGTCTAATGATAATTTTTGTAGCATAAAGAGTAATTTTTTCAATCGTCTCATTCAAAGTTATATTTTCTCTTGATTTTTATATCAAAACATTGCTTTTTGTGAAAAAAGATAGAATAATTTTGTTGTTCACATTACCGGTCAGTATGCTCTTCGTCGAAATTCGATGATTTGCACTTCGACAATACTCTTAGCTGATATCTGCAGAAATAGAAACGTGCCAATATTATGTCTATTGATACAATTGTACTTAGTAATTATAGTCATGCATCGAGTTAATAACTAACTTAAGTAAGTAACTAAATACGTTTCAAGGCTAAGTTTGGATGAAAGATCCTAAGTAAAAGTTAGAAGTTAACGAAGGAACCTCTTCAGATTCCTCCTTCCGATTTTCAATAAATTCTTGCCTATAGATACTACATGATGTTCTCATAAAAGTTCTAAAAGGATTTGGGTTGCTACTGAGATTCAACTAAGCTATCGAGTTTTTTCTACAGGCTCCATGCTATTAGAAAATTTGTATTTTTGAATTGTGATCTGAAACTTTTGTGCATACAGAGAGTTCAACTAAACCAGCTTTCATGAAAAGATTCAAAAGTTTTGAACAAAATCTCTTTGAAATATGAGACTTCCAAGATTTAGACTCTTTTCCGTGGATAGTATATACATCAAAGATCTTTTGGAACCTTCATATCTCGAAATGACTTTGTTCAAAACTTCTGAATTTTTTTATGGGAGCTAGTTCAGTTGAGTCCTCTATATAGATAAAGTTTCAGATCAAAATTCGAAAGCACGAGTTTTCCGAAAACCTGAGGTCCTACACGAACGTCTAGAAAATAGATATATTAAAAGTTCGATAAATCAGTCAAATCTCAATAAAAATCCAGATCCTATTAGGATTTTTATTAGAAAACTGTGCAGTATCTATAGGCAAAGAAATCCTTGAATTCGAAATGGGACAACTGAAGAGGTTTTCTGGTAAGCTAATGACCGAATAAGTTAATGCTTAAAAGTTAGTAACCAAAAAAAGATCAGGTCGTTATTCATGATGTACACATCATAGTTGAATTGATGCTATATATAAATAAATATTCAAAAAGAATGAATATAAGGAGTGATTGTCGAAAAAAAACTCATGTACATCAATGATCGAAACCCAAGGTATTCGGCGATCTTCTGTTCGGTAAACTTCATATTGATGATACTTATTACGGTTTTTATTAAATATTCTACAGCTTTTTGTGAGTGACATTTTTGTGTATTTTTTTAGAAATAAAATTTGGTTCACGTAGCTCGAAATAATTGAAAAATACCGATTTTCCAAGTTGCAAGAGCTTTTTTCAGAGGTGTTTGATATGAAATTTGTAGTGCGGACATCGCTTATTCCAAGAGAAAAAAAATGTAATTGCTTTAGAGATCTACAATATGATCTAACAGCATTTGACAATTTTTTCATTTCTTTTTGCAACTCATATTACTATAATCATGATATATATACTGTGTGAATGAGATGATATTAGAAAAAAAAAAACTTTGAAGTAACTGGAAATACTTGAACGTAGTTTAAAATGGCCCAATATAAGCTTGAAGCCTCTTGAAAGAGTTTAAAATAGATTCAAATACGGCAGCACCCTGTTTCCTCTTCTAACTTATTTGTCAAGTCAAATAACATTTTCAGTAGAAATTAATAATTCCAGGTAAAAAATGGACTAGATAAAAAAAGAAAGAAATAATCATCTAATGGTACTTAATAAATTATATAGTTTCACGTCCTATTTTAATATAAAAGTTGTTATATATAGATTTATTTTTCTGTAAGTATTTCAAAACATTCGAATACTACAAGTAGTCGTTCCCTCCAGTAGGCAGTTCCACAACAAAGTCTTTCTTTTCCTTTTAAACTTAATTTTTTCAACGGCATATTATCTATAAAATCTTTAATGTTAACGCATCAAACAGTACTTGAACGCGCATCAAATAAGTGTATGTGCTTTATATTAATAAAAAATTTATTAAAAAAAATTTAACAAAATTTAAGTAATTGTTTTTGTCATTACCTTTCGTTCATGAATTAGTGTGCTCATACTTTAATAATCATGTAAAAAGGTGCCTGATATTTGAATAATTATTCGTTCTCGATCAACCGGAATTTCACGACATGATTTTTGACAATTTGTTCTATTTCCGTAGGATTTTTAACAACAAAAAGATTATCAAATATCCAGTGAAAAATTAGAAAAATTATGAAAATTATAGAATTTCATTGATATGCTCACGACATTCCATTGTAGCTGATCGGTAAGTCGGAATTTTGACAATCTTTTTTTATTGTAGAGATTCTGAAAGACATGAGACATATGGTTGAAATTCAAGTAGTAAAATTCCATAGAACTTTCACTTTGACTCACAAAACATAACATATGAGTGGATTGCAATATCATTGTACCATTTTGAGAAAAAAAAAAATTTGATTTGAAAGATGATAAGTAGTTCGTTTTATTGTTCTATATGAGACGAGAAAATGAAGAAATATTCCCGGCTATCACTATTAATATAGTCGAAATATATGAGAATCGTTGAAAATTCATGAAAATACTTGAAATTATATGTTGGCTAAAGAACTTTGTCTATGCACTACGATATATGATTGAGATTTAAAGTTCGATAAATCTGCACTACATATGAATCGAATAGTGTTTTTATGCTATATATTCATGATGTGGCGTCATCTACACCGGCATCGGCTTTCACAAGAAACAAAATAGAATCAGTTAGCAACAAATTTCATATTGTCTAAAATAAGACTTGAACTTATGTGTCATATATATTTACTTTGATATTATTTGTGAAGTATAATACGCATTATTATTTCGCGTGCTACTTTTCTCATAAAAAATCTTGCGTGACAAATTCACATATTTTCTCAAGAGCCAAAATTTGTCTGCTGATGATATTTTTAGTGGTGGTTTTAATCACATTAATTTGATAAATGATTAAACTTTGATCTCCAACCCCCATACCATAGGAAAGTTATAGGCGTAGAAATATATTGAAAAAACATCATAAGCGACATTTATTTATGTTAATCAAGCTTTATGTTTATTGTTTTGATAGACGAGAAATAATACAAGGTTCTGATATGTTTTTTTTTAACAGTTTATCTCCCACTCAATGTTTCTTTTAACGGTTTATCTCCCACTCAATGTTTTTTTTACCCAGCAATGTCCTGATCGTTTTTTGATGGATTATTTAATCTCAAGATTATTTTTCATCTCGCGTGACAAAAAATCAAACAGGAACCGTACATCTGATATTCAGAAAAAAACACCTATAACGAAAATCATAATAAAATAACACTAATCAGTCTTGTATTCAAAAAGTCCACACGCTTTGCCCTATTTCAGTTAACCTCCACAATTTAAACAAGAAAAAAAATCACTTATATGACATGCTTAAGAGTAAATGACATCTTATTTGTTTCGTATGTTAGGATTTATTTAAGATAAATCCTTGTTTCCTTTTGCGTCGTAGTAAGGACTTATTTGAGGATTCAATTGATATATGCATATATTAGAGGAATTAGTGTTACTTTACTATGAACAGGATGTATCGAAAAATTAGATAAGCAATTAATACACCTTGTAATGCAGATGCGACACTCGTAAAATTAGCAATGTCTCCAGCACCAACTAAGATATATATATATATATATATAGATTTAATTTACATTTAGAATCTTGTGTCATATGTATTTATTAGAGACAAACCCTTAATTAAATTATTGATAGTTAGTAGAATTTGAAAATCGCTATATATATGTATATATCGATGGAATAGAATTTCGTTTGGATAGTAGTGTCATCTCTCGTTGTCTGCAATTTGCTTTAAATTAACTACGAATCATTGTTTAAGTCCTTCAAATATCTGTAAATAAACATCTAAATAAACGTGAAATCTGATCAATTTTTTTTTTCATTAAAAAAAATGTTCTGTTGAATTTATTAATTTGTCTGCATGTTGAATATTTTATAAAGCATAATATAGAAAGAAGAAAAAAAAAATCGATTAAAATGACGGAAGACAATTCACATGGTCATTTTAATCCACGTTATAAAGCTCAATCAACATCTCAACTATTATTACCAGATTCAATTAGTGTTAAATCAATTTCATCAACATCATCAACATCATCTCTTGCTATATCACATAGTCCTAAAAGTAATATATCATCATTTTTAAAAATGTCATTATCAAATCGTAAGACACCTACAACACGACCAACAGAAGATCGTTTTATTATGACAATTATAAAAAGTCCACCAAGTCATTACCACCGTGCATCATCGAATTCTTCAAGTGATTTTTCTTCAACAACATCACCATTAACAATAACAACAATGAGTGATGATTTACCAAACAATAGTAAATTTCTTAAAAGTAGAGTTACAACAGCATTCAATCATATGAAATATCGTAAGTTAAAAGATTTTCGAAAATTTTCTTTTTGCTTCATAGATTAATTCATTTTTTTTCTCATAAGGTTGGGTTGTGAGAATGCGACCAAATTTCCGTACAAATGAATCACCAATTTATTTTCTTGGAAAAATGTATAATGGAAAGGAAGGTAAATACAATAGA